TAGTAGATTAAAAAATTAATCTAAAAAACCAAGTTTTTCAAGTAAGACTAAAAAGCACAAAAAAATTTAGTAGATTAAAAAATTAATCTAAAAAACCACGTTTTCAAAAAGCAAAAAATAACCTTAAACGTGGTGCGCATGGAGATTGTTGGGAAGAAGTGAAATACAAATGAAATAGATGCGCACCACGTTTAAGGTTATTCTTTGCTTTTTGAAAACATGGTTTTTTAGATTAATTTTTTAATCTACTAAATTTTTTTGTGCTTTTTAGTCTTACTTGAAAAACTTGGTTTTTTAGATTAATTTTTTAATCTACTATAATTATTTATAATATTTCCACAATACAGTATTGCACCATTTTCACTGAAAAGAACGCCAGCATTTTCAGTTTCATTTTAAGGCAGCAAAAGAACGTCATCCCTCGTAATAATTGCTCAGCAATCCACTCAAAGAATCTTCGCATTATTTATGGATCGATGCTGATGTTAGCAAGAGGGGGGAAAAATCCCGAAAATGCAAATATTTAGTTTCCAATAGCAACACCCTAACCCAAAGAGAAACATTTCCTTTTAGTCGGAAAGCTAACCTTATTTCGGGGATGGTGTCGGCATTCCGGGATCCAGGTCAGTGCACACGGCATGCACAAGAGGAATTCCTTGCCAAGGATTTCTTAGCAGTTTGCAACTCCACCCTGAACAGCCCAGCGTTTTTCTGGTTCCTTTTTGGAACCATTCCTTTGCTGGTGAAAAAAAAAAAAAACTATCCGGAATGAGATATGAGGAACCCAAGGCGGGTGCTGATCTAAATATAGATTAGTGTTGGATTCAAGATTTTCCCCAGTGCTTCTCTTGCTGGGATGAGTGGCATTCATGCCCATCACATAACGCGTGACAAATCAATCATTCATGGACCATTTAGTATTTTTTTTCTGCTGCTGGGGAGTGCATAAGTTTCTTCTGGCATTGCTTCAAACTTTAATTGCATTCAGTGATGCTGTATATGTTTGACTACTAGTTTTAGACTAGGGCATACTTGGATTTTATTTGAAGCTTTTGCAACATTATTTGATGTGTTCAGTAAAGCATTTACATGAATATACAATAAACTTCCTCATTTTTGACAATATTACTCTCCCAAAATAAAAGAAATGTTTTTTTATGAAAACATACTGAATTGAATTGAATTGTAAGCTTTATTTTCTGCTTTTCATGTTCACACATCCAAACCCCCTCCCCTCCCCAGCCACAATCATCCAAACACATTCCAAATGAAAAAATAATAAATAAGCTGTATACAGTATATGGATATTAAAATGAAACAAAATACTGCACATCCCAAAATGTACAATTTCACAACTCATGTAAGTACTGTACATATAATTTTTTCCCCTTCCCTGATAACAAAATATCCGTGATAAGAATTGCAGCATAAGGCAATTACTGTACTATATAAACCCAAATTAAATTACACTGCAGAGTTTGGCCTGCTCCCAGATAAGGTTTACTTGATTGAACAATTTGAAGATAATCTTTGATGAGAAATCAGACAAGGTTAACAGTTTATCTTGGTCCTCTAAGATTTTGGAAAGAGTCTTTTGATTAAATTTCAAGAGACCCAGATATTTTTGAGACTCAAAACTAGGGGAGAAATTTTCTTCAAAAATTTCTTGAAAGGTCTAATGAAAGTGAGATGTTGAGCTTACTCCAAAATTGGTTTTTTTGGTATCACCTGTCCTTTCTTGCAAATGCTCAACAATTTGATCCATATAAACACATATCCAAGGAACATTATAAGAATTGTTGCTTTTCTCTGCTACTTAATACTACAGAAAAGTAAATCTTATGCACATGAAACATTACTATTTCATTTTTTTCACACACTGTATGGGAAATTACTTGAGAAAATTTGGCTCACTTTTTTTCAATCTTAACTTTAAAGTAGCACTAGATGATTCAAACTTTTCTTGAATACTCTATTTTCTACATATTCAGGATTGAAAATGTCCTTATTTGTGATAATTTGAAATAGTCACCTTCAAAACTCTCTAAAAAATATCCAAATGTACGCTTTAGAAAAAAATAATCAATCAGCTGAAGAGATGTAAAAAGCAAGAAGAAAATCGGTCGCAGCATGCCAGCACTGCAGGTAAAAGAGGAAGGAAGTAAAAGGAACTATTGAATCACACCCACCATCTCACATTTCAGCACGCGAACAACTTCCCTCTCCACTCCATCACGCAAACATCACCTTCTCTCTCGACACACCCACCTGAAACAATGGGTCTCCTGAAATAATGCTCCACAATGAATTGGTCAGTGGAAATACTATACACTCATTAATCACAATCATAATCCAGAACACATCAACATTCAGTGAGTGCCCCAACGTTAGAATAACTTCAGGAGTCAAGTGAAGTAACAATAAAGCACACTACAAAAACCATTCAAGGATTGAATCCAAGCACACCACCAGTTTGATTTATTCTGAGCTGTACCAAAACTCAGGAGTATTAATTTCACAAAATTACTTTTCTCCTGAATACAATTGTGTTTGGCATGCAGATGGTTGACAAGACTGCTGCATTCTCAATGCAGAAATACAGTACAGGTGAACTCTCTCTATACAACAATCTTGCCTAAATTTTTTTTTTACTGTGTACAAGAAATTATTTTGGGCCCGTAGGGTTCTCTCCCCACATTAATGAGGTTCCCTACAACAAAATGCTCTCCACACCAAATGTTCTTCTGGTCCCTTGAATTTTATTGAATTTTTTATGTTATTTATTTACCAGGTGCCATCAGTAAATTTAGGGTTCTCTCCCCACATTAATGAGGTTCCCTACAACAAAATGCTCTCCACACCAAATGTTCTTCTGGTCCCTTGAATTTTATTGAATTTTTTATGTTATTTATTTACCAGGTGCCATCAGTAAATGAGACATGCACCTAGTTTTTCAGCCTAAAATGTTAATGAAATTCTATCCCGGTAAGATGCAAACCCCATTTTGAGTGACTGAGAAGCTGCAATGTACATTTCAAAAGCAATACCAAAATCCCAGTTTTGACATGAAATCAATTTATTTTGTTTGAAAATTATCTCTCAAAATTTATTAAAAAAACAATTAGAATCGAGTATAACACACACACATAAAATTCCAAAAATTGTATTTCTGTCCATAAAACACACCTTCCCCATTTTCCCCTCTCAATTAAAAAAAAATTGACGTGTGCCCACAGTACCGTACTCAGCAAGTAAATATGTACAGTACAGTAATAAATCTAAAATTACCAATACCATGGTATTGTAGTGCTGTATATATGCTCCAATAAAAAGAGTACTACAAGTGGACTTTCTCTGAAAATGATCTTGTCCACAAGTGTAAAAAATGTTTTTTTTCTCCATACGTTATATATGGGAGTTCTCAACAACAAAATTCTTTTCTGGTCTTGAATTTTGTTGTGGAGAAAGTTCATCTGTATCTGCAATTAACTGAAGCACCAGCATGAACACCTTTTTTCCTTGAAAGTCTATGTTAAAAGTAGAGAGACGTTCATTACATACATTCCTTGTTTTCAACCGGGTCACAACTTTTAAATTGTGTAACAGTTGATTTCATATCACCATGTAGGTTATTTGGGAAGGAAAAAATTACCACCACAGAAAATATGCTTTTCAGTTCTCTACATCAATAAATTTGAATCACAATTTTTTTTGTAAATGTCAGCAGGGAGCCAGGGACACACGTCCCACAGTTTTAAAAGCTACCCAGTACACGTAGCTCCTCCAGAACACTATTGTCAACCCATTTCCTCAGCAAAAAGAAAGGGTTCCACATGCACCTAGGAAAGAAAGAAGAAAAACGCATCAGAAATCTTTCAGTAAAACCCTTCCAAAGACAAAGGACACGTGGAAATAGAAGCACGGGACAAACACAGGAAGTAAAAATAACAGATTCCCTTTATTTCCTTCCCGCACACAAATATAAAAAGGAAGAATGAACCGGGTGAAAAAGGGGGGACAAAAAAAATGCAGGGAACGCGGACAGGCAACCCGTGGGCGTAGGTTTCTGCAAAATAGTCTTCACACGCAAGCTTTTTTCTTCGTTACACTTCCATCAGTCGTCCTTTTGAGACAGGAATCAATTCATCTCTTTCCTGGCAACCGGATAATTGAATTTTTCTTTTCCTAAGAACTAGAATTCTGAGTTCTTCAAAGCAATGATCAGATGATTTCCCCGAGGTGAATAAAACACGCGAATTTCAATTTTTTCCAGCGGACGTCACGAAAACGCTATCTAGAATAATTTGAGACATAACCTCACCATGAGCAAAAATCAACTCAAGTCCCCTCGGTGTTCGTACCAAAAAACATCACTAAAGGTGCTCAAAAAAGCGGATACAGTATTTGATGATTTCTCAAGCTTCAAGGAGTATCACAAATTTACAGCAATAAATGCGGACACCCACGAAAACCTTTTGCAGCATGCTTACGCGAAGAAATTGCCAAGCAACAATAAACCAGTTTCTTCCTGCAAAGCTGACAAGAATCATATGAAATTGCAACAGTGAAAACAGTACGGCAACAATTCGTACGATTTCGGCGCACCAATACTTCCATAATTCCAATCTCAATCTGCGGAATATCTTGATATATACCGTGATTCCCCAAAAAATACGACGTGCACAGAAAAAAAAGATTTACAGTCCCAAGGTTTGGGGACTATAAATTTCCCCAGCAAAAATGAAGCATCCGTGAGAGGGGAAGTTCAAAAGTTTTTCAGTACTTTGACATAAGTTTTTCAGAACACAAATTTAGTACTCTGGGATTAATAAGAAGATTCTGCCAACGATCTTAATCAATAATTGCCCAGACTTAAGCAACTTCATGCGTTGACGTTTTGAAGAAACTTCCAGGTGGAGCATAATTACTACAAAAATTGCAAGCATAAATATTTTAGTAAAACATGGTTTTCATCCCCAATTTTTCAATATTTGGTAACATTTGCCTAAGTCTTGAAATTAGCGAAGTCGAAAATAAACATTTTTTTCTCTGCGACATCGGGTGAAATTCTGTTCTGTGCCTTTTTAATTTCAATCTGAATGATAAATCGGCACTTTCATGAAATGATGAACAGTGGAAATTATGTCCTTGTCCATGCATTCATACAAGACTTCACAGAGGAGAAGCACAAGATCGATAAAACTTACAAACCAACCTTCGTATTTCAAGACAGGAGAACCATGTGAGTTGTTTTTCAATTGTGTAAGAGGAATGAAATATGTATGCGATAAAATCTTGAATCACCAAAAATAATTCCCGGTTCGATGCGTGAGAAGTTTACAGGCGAAACAACAATAAAAATTAGCGCATAAAAAAAAAGAAGAGCTATCTCATTGTTGGGGAATCACGGTATGGTTTTCGCGGAAAATCTTGATAAAAGTATCAAATCCGACGGAAAAAAATAACATAATGAAGCTAAAAGAAACAATGGGTACACGAAAAAAAAGGAAGCCTCAGTTGAGCAGGTTCTAGGATACACCAAGAGAGACACAGGGACAAAGCAAGGACACAATTTCTTTACACAGACGAAAGACAATCTCGCTCCAACGCCCAAGTCATAAAACACGCGATCAAACAAAGACTCGACTTCGGTTCACGTTCATCACAAGTCCGGCGCATTTTTCTTTTACCCGCTTTTTCTCGCCATTGCGCCACACGAGTCATAGTTCGAGTTGGAAAAAAGAGGAGCCTTGGGACTAATCAAGGGACACTAACAGGAATAATCTGCGGAACGTTTACGTGAACCTCAGCTTCGAGAAAAAAAAAATTCCGCTTCACTTTTTGAGAATCCTCGCCATTTCTTTGTTTTGTCGTTGAACTTTCCACTCGTTCTTCTCAGCTTTGTCTGTGATACGGTCCAAAAGCTGGTTCTGACTTTCGATTTCGTTCCCTAGTCCACTGGCTAGTCCTTTTAGTCGAGCTAAACCCAGTGACATATCCTCTGAAGAAAAAAATAATAATCCGGTGAACATTCAAGCAAATTATTTATAAAATGGTAAAAAACATAGTCATCATGCATGGGATCCGCGAAAGATTTTCTCCTGAACAATGAATTCCAACTACTCATTTTCAGAAACAGTGAATATCGTCAAATATTACATGATCAACATAAACTCTGCGATCGAAAACTGTTACAACCGACTAAACACCTCACAAATCTGCAAAATCAACAATTTTTTTTTAATTTCGGGAGATCGTGTTCAGTTCTCCACAATCCAACATCCTCAGCTGAATTATTTCCTCCGCCATTAAATGCATGTCGCCTGAAATCAATTTCGTTAAAATTACATTCTTGGCCATAGTGCACGTTGTCACTTGGAGGCGGACCATATGGTCACATTAAGGGAGTTTAGTCTCTGACAAAATTACCTCAGGCCATATTCAAGTGAGATTTTCTAGGCATCCCAGAAACATAATTTTACATTAAATGTTGAAAAATCTGAAGCTTACGAAGATAAATTCTATTCGCTGTCGAAGTTGGAAAAGGAAACACGCGAGTCCGATTCAAAATAAGATGAGAACAAAAAACTTACCCAAATTTTTATCGATGATTTCATCCGCAGACTGAGGTTTGCTACTCGCAGCTGCTCTGCTAGACGCACCACCTGAGCCACCATAATCCACTCCTCTCAAGGACAAAGCTGAACAAGGACGAAATGAAAAAAGAAAACAAGTGAAAATACATTTTTGTGTGTGTTTTTTACATCACTCAAATTCCCCCATATCGATTTCGGCGAAAATAATCAATTCAGTACTTGAAGCTTACCAGGATGGTCGCCATTCTCCTTCGGAGGAGATACAACTGAAGACAAATTGTCGTCCGTTTTGCTTTTTTCCACAGGTTTTGCTTTCACCGGCTGTTTACTGAAATAATTCTTTATGCTCCCAAAAACGCTCTGAATAAATAAACAAACAAATGAGAATCAAATCCACAAGAAATTCCTGCTTATTACGTACCTTAATGGAAGTGATATGACGTTCAGATTGGCGCAAATTGTCATTCATAACGTCCAATCTCTCTTCGGTCTTCTCGAGTTTTTCCCGTTGCACCAATAAATTCTGGAACCCAGGACAAAACGATTATTGTCAAAAACATTGCACACGAAATAAGAATCCTATGTTGTTGTTCGATAACACGTAAGAAAGCCATAACAAATTGAAAATGACGGAAAAAGTAAGCGTACGCGAGTGTTCATCACAGCAAATATTAAATACAGTTCTGTAATGATACAAGAACACTTCCCCGTCAACCTGAGAAGAATCTATCTTCGAAAAAATTCCAGCAAAAAGAAATTCACACAAGGTTCTTGGTTATCAGTCAAGGTAAAAATCTGCCCAGTGCTGGTTTGAGAAAGTCTCCCCAATCTGGCACAAATCATAGGCTTCTCAATGCATACAAAGTCTCGGAGATACAGCCAAACAAAACGTGAATAGCTGCAACGAACTCTTGAACCCACAAAATTTCAAGAAGAAGACACAAGAAAACAGTCTCTGAATGATATTTATGAGCATTGAAAAACCAATTCAACGCAGACGGAAAGATTGATCGAAAAATGTAACAACAGGTAACGGGTCATTAGTTTCGGGACAACCAGAAAACACGGTCCATCATTTAACGATTTTCCACGGCCACACCGTGTCAAAAATAGCCCGACGGGAAACTGATGGAACATTTAAAATTCCGCTCATCAAAATACCCCCCTCCACCCCAAAAAAAACCACACAATTTTGTGTACTTCTTATTTTTTGGTGGGAAGTAGTGAATTTAATATTCAAAATTAATTTGTGAATGAGATTGAAGAAGTCCTCATAATTTTCTGAAATTTTCAAATTTCAAATACAGGAAGATACAAAACTTTACCCTTCTTTTTGATTATCCTAAATTTTCAGAAAAATTCTGAGTACTGTATAAATTGAAAGTTGATTCAATTCAAGTACTCTTTCGGCCTAGCAATGTCCTTATGTGCATCACTTTCACATTTCAAGAATTTTGGTTACGGGGGGACTCAATACAGTAATTTAAACGGAAAAACGCCCATGAAACACCCCATTTATAATATTTTGCATGATCAAGTGCACAAGGATTTTTTCGTGAGGCAAAAAAAATTGCCGATATTCGCGTGAAAACGGTAATAAAAATCAACAAAAATATTGATTCATTTAATTCCCTTTATACTAACCGAGGCGGTTTCTGTTCCCACGCGTTCCGAGTCGTCAATGAGTGCGACACTTCGCATAGTTGACTCAATCGTGCGATTCTCAACTTCGCGTCTCTTGGCCAACAATTCCTGCCGACGCTCGTCCAATTTCCGCTCCTCTTCGGTCAAGTGATCAGAGAACATGTAGCTGCTGGAATTTCCGCGTCGCTTGAGAAACGCGTCGTCGTCGACGTCGTCCGTCGCGCCGAAAAACGGATTGCTCTTGTCCTCGAGATAACGATTGCCCGACGCCATTTTCCCACGCAAATTTTTGTTTTCACGATTATCAAAAGCTCCCGGGAGAGAAAAAAGGGGGTTCAACGGATTCCTGCAAACTGAAATCAAACGATAAATGCAATGTGACGATGAACGCACATGATATGATAAATTATGGCACGCACAAAAGTTTTCCGATCTCGTCATTCGCAGTAATTCTCACACCAGAGTCAAAAGAAAATTAGCTAATTTAAAGTGTTGTTATTGTATCATCTGCCGAGAGAATTTGATGGATAGATATACAATACTACAGATTTTATAACTTTCTCCGTTCAGGAGAACATTGCGCTGACGAGGTGCTTTAGAGGGGATTTCGTTTTTGGTCTCACGCAAGGGATCATCCTCAAATTTATTCCAAGTTCATGTTAGCGTTTCTTCCTTAAATTATCCAAAATAAACCAGGAGGCCAAAAATGAATCTCATTAGCACAAGACTTACATGTTCAGAAAAATAAAGGAATTTTCAGATATTCAAACTTTCCTTTGCATTGAAAAAAGTGCACAGAACTAGAGAATCGAAAAACTTTTGAAAAAAAAAAGCAAATCGTTTCCAAAAAATCTCTTCAAAATCAGTTCATTTGATTTTTCGAAACTCACAAAACGGTTTCTGTCACTCATTCGCAGCGGAATTCAATAGGCACTGCGAAATAAAAGCCTTGAAATGAATGCATTCTGACAAACATTTTCAGCAATCACAGCGACTTCGCCTCGACACCAGACGCCGTCAACGCCTCAACAAACTTGTAATAAACGTACTTTAAATCAAATTCCATATCGTACCAAAAGTTGAGCGCAATGCAGGCATGAGACTGTCTCACATGATGAAACCACAACGACGGCAAATAAAGCGCCTCACCGGCCCGAACTTCGCATTCAATCACGTGCGCGCGCCGGAAATTGGGATACTTTTCCAAGTCTGGGTCCAGGGGGTTAATACTAACCCATGGAACCCGCTCCGCATCATCCAGCTTCTGAACATTAAAATCTCCAGATTCCGAAGAATAAAACTTCGCTGCTGGGTATGTTTCGTACGGCACAAACGGGAGATCCGTCGGAGGAATCAGCAGGAATTTTTTCACTCCCGAAACCACGAGATAGATGTTTTCGTAGTGATCTCGATGCACTGGAAAAAAGATTACATGAGCAATTATTTCAGCCGAATTATGCAGTACTGCAAATATTTTAGTTTTGCTGATCCTTTCTGCTTTTCGAATGTTCTGAATTCAGACAGGAATTGCCCCAATCCAAACAGTGACCAAGAAAATAATTCAAGTTGAGCTAACCTTTAGCAATAAACAATCTCATTAAGCACAGTTGAACCATGATAACTTGAAGCTCTTTAAGTTGAAAACCCTCCATGTCGATTTCTTTTCACACCCCTGCCTGCAATCCCATAAGAAAATACAGTATACAGATTAACCTCGCTAACTCAACGAATTTCCCCCTCCTACCTCCATAACTCGAATTTCTAGAGGCCTTTGGGGGTATATTCAGATTAATCAGGAAATAAAAACACAGTAAAAATGAGACGATACTGTATGGCTGACTCATGGGTTAAATTACCTGCGAGTTCAGCGCCCAGAAGATCACCAATTTGAATTCGCTATAATTCTTTCTTTTCATATTCACCAAAAATAACGGTTTTCCCAACTGAATGACAACAAGAGAAAACAGAAAAAGGCACATGTTGATCCGGAACACAAGGAAGGTTGACACTGGAAACACATACAGTACTGTAGTTTCAGATTTCCATTACGACGCAGAAAGGAAAGAACGTGTCAATTTTTCTAGTTTCGGCGCCAAAAATGTTTCGCATTTCTCGAAATAATTCGAGAGCTCAGAGTTTCAATGCTTTTCCTAGAAACCTTTTTTGCATGTATTGCATTTTTTTCTTTTTGCAATACTCACTCGAAGTTACAGCCCTGGAATCACCCATCCAAAAATTGACAGCGTCGGGCTTCTTCCCGAAGGCTTCCGAAGCCCACTCCACTTCCACGCCAGCATCTTCGTGCAACACCGAGAACTCGGAGGTGAAATTGGAGCATTGCTTTTGCACATAGAAAATCCCGGGATGCGATTGTGGACATTCCATCACACTCAGGAATTCAGCGAAGGGCATAATCCTCTCTTCCGGCATCACGAAGCAGCCATCCGTAATTGCGTCCGCGAACCCGTTGGGTGTCACTGCTACCGACACAGGGATTTCCCCAACGCGAGACCTGAACCCACATGGAAAAATGAGTACAGTATTAAAATTCATGAATTCAGCTTCTTCGCATGGAACACCTGCTCATATTCGCGCAGGTGAAACGGATTATACGAGGGATGGCTCAGAAGTTTGCGTCACACCCTTGAAATTAAACTTCCAGGACAACCAACTGTTCGATTCTGATCTCAATAAACCAAGGTGCTATCAATAAAAATGTAAGCATGTCTCTGTGAATTTCCTGAAGTGATCCTTCGCTTCAGTAACTTTTTCCTGACCAATCGAATGTTCAGGAAAATCAACTGCCTTTTCAATGGAAAATTTCAATCGGTGCCATTTCAACTAAAAAAAATGTTCACGCATTCGAAATATGTAGTAGCACTTAAAACTGCCGGAAAACTTATAAAAGAATGAGACGAGAAAAACGGGTCGATAAATTCTAAAGGTATTACTGTTTAAAACCTACGTCGATGCACATCCATCCTACACAACTGACAAAACTTGAGAACCAAACCTCGCACTTCAAAATGTTCACGAAGTGTCAAACTATTACCTGAAATAATTGCAATTCCACTTGTCCAGACAAGACCACGAATCGAACGATTCAGTAAATATCACTGGCCGATTAGGTGAGACCCAGTCCCGCAAAAATTCCAGGGGCTTCGGAGGTCCTTTAATTCGAGGTACTTCCTCTGAATAGCAAAAATCTGTGAAGAGTGAATGAAGTCAGCGTGTTCAAAAATTTTCACAAAAGATTTTTCGAAGAATTCCGTTATAACGTGGTCGATATCGTTTTTCATGACATGCATCACTCCCGATCCAGTAGAATGTGCTGCGTCAAGTACGATTTGATTAAATTATCGAGATAAACGAAAACAAATTTAATGATCTTTGAGACGCCCTAAAATTCAAATACATTCGGAAATTGACAAGGTATGCAAAAAGGGCTAAATTTCTGAGCAAAATCCAGATAATTGGAAATATTTATCAAAATAAAAGAACCCTTGCTCTGCATCAAGTAAATCCCCCCCCCCAAATTTCGTTTCAAAAATTTAAACCAGTTATTTCATTACGCATCCTCGTTGTTCGGCAAATTTGAATTGAAAAATGTATGCCTTACGTAGGCCCTCTTCCTTACAGTATTGCGGGTATTTGGTACAAAGAGAACTTACAAGCTTGTTCTCCTAAATATAACAATTTTCATTTACTCAACAAGTCACTGTGAAGTCACTCAAGTTCTGCAAAGAACAGCAATTGTTTTTGCTTTTATCCCTTTAAATGGTTTTGGAATATTTCCCAGATTTGATGATTCGACAGGATGCTGAACTTGGATCTGGGTGTTAGTATGACTAATGCGACACTAACTTCCTTTTGAACAGCATCAAGTCACATTTGTATTACGTTTCTCTTTCCAAAATAACCCATAATACTCTATTGTTCCAGACTTACTCAAGAACCATGCACCCCAAGTAAGAGAGAACCCAAGTTCTAGACCTAAAATCTTGATGAACAACTGCCTAAAATAAGACGCACACCCCATTTTTTGTGACAGAAAAAATCCAATCTTACAAAAAAAAGATACACTAGAATTCTAATTTAAAATGAATCCAACCCGAATTCAATTAGTTTTCCATTGTTTTGATTTTGAAAATTTCCCATTATATTCAAGTGTTATGTGCACCGTAACAATTTTAAATTTTATCCCTACAACGCGCACCGCATTTTTTCCACTCAATTTTGGGATAAAATTCTGCGTGGCACTTCAGTGAATACAGTAATACCCCAAAGGCCTACGGAAATTCGAGTTATGGAGGTTTTGGGAGGGGAGGGGGGAGTCTTTGGGCTAGGGAAATTTAGTGAACACTAATCAGTAAATTATTGTAATGAGAATTCAGACAGGGTCTCAACAACAAAACCAGATTTTTGACTTGGGTTCGATTTACCAGGTCCAACGGCAATAACGAGTCAACGCACTCACCAAAGGTGGCTTCACTGAGCTTCACAAATTCCGCATCCATCATCACTTGGGTTTCACAGTCAAGTCAACCTTGGACAAGATGAAGTGCGCGGGGGGCGTGTTTGACTCCTGACACTCGCACCGCGGCAAAGTGACGTAGTCGAAAGAACCGACCCGAGCGCCGCACTTGCAATTCAACTTCCCACGCGTCCAATTAGACTTGGCAATTTCGTCTCGGACCCAATCCGGCACGGCTTCTTCCGCAAAATACAGATTCGATTCCCGAATGTCGTCAGAGCAAGAACTCTTTAGACGGTCTTCGAATTTAATCTCGGCCCCGTGAGACGACAGGAATGAGCTGTCGATGCCGATTCCAGAGCCTAAGACGTGTCTACACTTTCTGCACTTGATCGCACACTCGCTGTCCATTTCTGTGGTGACAAGGTAAAAACATAAACTCAATCAAAAAACGTCTTCATTGCATTCCCACCAAAAGAAGGATGCGAGTTATCCCGAATCGACCACTGCAACTGCTTCTTGAAACGTTGACTATCAGATGATTGTCGGTTCACGACACAAAAAATGTTCGCGTATCACTTTATTTACGAAAATAACGCCTTCACAGGACAGGTTCAACATACCGAGGAAACACAAATACTGTATTTTACATGAATGTACAAATTTACGTTCATTCCATTAAATTGCCAGTGATCTGATTTTACGGACCAGACTAAAAGAAAGGGAAGTACTGGAAATAGCAAACTTTAGGCGGTAATTTTGAAACTGTTCGCACTTTTTTGGTCGATCCAGGATACTCATGAACTCATGTTTTCGACAAATCGCAAACGATTTTTGAAGAAAGTCACAGGAAATTTTGAAATGCAATATGTTATGGTAAAGCTAGTTTATCCATTTAAAACGACATTGTCTCGGATCAAATCTCTCAACTTTCCTCTGACTTGTTTCAAATTTACAAGAACAGCAGGATAATTGCGGAAAATTTACTCGCAACGTAACACCACAACCAACACTAGCAAAAATAATTCAACAACGATGTTGAAAACGGAAAACATCCGGAAGCACCAGAAATATCAACGAACCTCCCTGACTTGTTCCCCATAACACACAACAAAAAATCGAACATCATCCGGGTCGATGGGCAAGAGAATGCGGAATTTCGTCAGGCAACTTTCAGGAATGAGCAAGTTTGATTACTGTATAAAAAAAACAGCTGATGAAGATAACGGCGCTGAGAATTAACAATATTTTTCTTCATCAGCATAAAATAAAATGTTTCCCACACTCGAAACGTTTTAAATCTCGAAAGACACAACGAAGATTCTAGAAGCCCATTGCACGCCATTAAGCATTATGAACTGCATCAACAAAAACCTGAACCGCACTTGGTTCCATATCGGGGTATATCCCATGCCCGAGATTCGCAATATATCTTGATTTCCCAAAATTTCCCACCATCGCAGTTGCGATTCTCTTCAAATCCTCATGATCCGCATACAAGGCACAGGGATCCAAATTGCCTTGTAAAGTCACGCTTTCTCCCAGAATTCGCCTGGCTTCAACTGGGTCTACTGTCCAGTCGATACCCACAACCTGGTAACCCAAATCCTTCACGTCTTCGTAGCAAAAAGAACCGCCTTTCGGAAATATCACAACTGGGACATCACGTTCACCAAGTCGAAGCTTGAGAGTTTCCCTGATCTTTTTCCAGTATGGAATGCAGTACTTCTTCGCGAGAGCTCGATTCAAATGCTCGGCATGAGACTCAAATACCTAAGACAAAGAAATTCAAGAGACTTCAAATGAGCTGGTTATTTCGTAAATATCGTAATACCAAGCAATATTGGAGGATTAAATATTTAAATTTGATGCGGCGTTGCCACTCAGGGTTTTGATGCATTAAATTAATTATGCTAAAAATCACCCACCAAAAGAGGTCCAAAAGAATGATGCCTACGAGTCTCAATGCTCGCAAACATTTTAGCGGAGGACGAAAAATCAAGATTGATTTCATTTAACCTCGAAAAAATGTCTGATGATTTGCATGAAAATGTACTGTACAGTAATAGCAATTTGAACATTCTGCAATTTCTAGAATATCAACTTCTATATTCCAGTATTTCTAACACAGAACAACATTTGAAAAAGTGGTTGACATGGGATTGGTCATTGAAAAATTGCGAAATTAAACCTCTTCCACTCAAACTGCAAGGGGCCAGCAAAAGAATTGAGTTGAGGAGGGTTCCAGTAAGGGAAACGCTCATTTTTGTTGGGGAAAAGTCAAAAGAATCACGGAAAATTGTGATTGGTGATATTCTGGGCCTTAAATTGCTTTTCAAATGAGCTGACAAGATGCTGAACTTGGAGGCAAAGGTTCATTTGCCCAATTATTCTTTCACTTCCTTTCAACCCATCAATCACCATAAATTTTAATTGCTTTTCTTGTTCATATGTCAATAAAATAAAAAGGACTCCATCACATTCAAGTTATGGAGGTTTGAGGGGGTTTCCAAGAAAATCCAGACACGGACATTAAAAACATCTGAACAGGCTGGTTTGACTTCATTATTCGATGGACCAGCTAAGGAAATTATTTCATCAAGAATTAGTTACCGCACAAAGATTCTTTTTGCACACCATTTGGAAGTGAAAAAAGAATATTTTAAACTAAAATAAGAATGAACATTTAAGAACTGTCAAAAAGATTACCAATTATGACCAGAAAACCAACGAGTCATTTTGAACTGAGAAAAAATTAAAACCCGAAAGCAACATTTTCATTGTAATGCTTTGAAATTCAAATTAAATGAAAGCCATCGGGGTCTTATGAAAAATTACGCGATTTATTTATACGTGTACCGACGATGTGAACAATAAAAAAAACATTCTGATTTTTCAGTTAAAATACTGAAACATCAAAAAACCTTACCTGCAACATTTGTGCACCAGCCTCAACCTGAGCAACCAAAAACATGGCCACTGCGTCCGCAAGTTTCTCTAGCAATTCGTGAGACTCCTTTTCAAACTTGTACAACCATTTCTTAGCCTTACTACAGGTCTTCGATCCCTTGCCCTCAATCATGTAGCTCATGAGCGTCCACGGTGCACCAGCAAATCCAATCAAAGGCACTTTCCCATTGAGTTCCGTCCTCGTCAAAGTGATAGCTTTAAACACATAATCCAATTCCAGGTTCACACCAGACACAGGTTTCAGCCGGCTCAGATCCTCGACACTTTCCAAAGGTTGCGGGAAAACAGGACCTTCTCCAGGTTTCATCACCACTTCCATGCCTAAGGCTTGCGGGATGACTAAAATATCCGAGAAAATAATGGCGGCGTCAAGGGGGAACCTGCGCACGGGTTGCAGAGTAATTTCGCACGCCAATTCCGGGGTTCGGCAGATTTCGAAGAAATCATGCTTGGATCGGAGTTCCCGAAATTCTGGCAAATACCGACCGGCTTGACGCATAATCCACACTGGGACTTGGTCAACGGATTCCCCGCGAGCAGCACGCAACAAACGGTCATTTAACAGCGGCGGAAAGGCGTCACCGGACATTTTTAAAATTGACACGAGATTCTCCTGGAAATGAATATATGAAATAATATCAATTTTGAAGCAGCGGGTTAATAAGCTAGAAAGGGCAAAAATGGATCGCTGATCTGAAATCAATCACATTTCCTACGTCTTATAACTCTCACGGGTAAATAAATCAGTGCCCATTCATTGTGGACTTAAAATGAGAGGCTAGAGAATTAATCGCGCACAAAATTTTTTTCAAGTTTACTTCAATCAAGATAAAAAAAAATCCAATTGCAGGAAAAATCTTTCAATTATATGAAAGAAGATTAAGACAAGTTCAAATGACCGAATTCGAGGCAATTTTTACAATTTTAGAAAACCTTTCTGGAACAGTTGGAGCTACCAAAAGTCAAATATATGGCCAATCATCTACATTTATGCAAGTGTTAGCTTTTCTGGTAAAATTTCATCGATTCAACAATTAACGTGGCCAATAAACGAAAGGGACACTTGAGACTCGTCGAAATTTGTTTATCTAAATCTTTCCTATATCCAGGAATTTCTAGATGTTCAGATCATGTTCTAGAATAATCCATCATGAGGTTTTCCAGGGTTCCCCAGGCACTAGCGCTTGCAAATTGGCAAAAACTTGTTGATCGGTCACATCGACGCTATAAATTTACAGGTTACTCGCACATCAATTTCCAGGGTATGGATCAAAATTATGTAGGGGATGCAGCACTCACATTTTACCCATCAATTAGAAAAAAAGTACACAAATGAAACTTTGGAATGGCGATGAAAATAATGTTTAGTCCCGGCAATGACACACATCAACCAAAAATGTATCCTTTTGTCGACTAGACGCGAATAGAATCTGCGAAAAAAAAACCCACACCACAAAGCGGACACGAACAGGGTAGATTCCGATAATTATTTTTCACACACTTCTTGGTACTTCTTCCTCAAACCGGAAAGGATTGATTGTTCAAGCAACTACACGGCCACTGGAATATAAAACGTAAATCAAAACGTTAACTCAGCGGTTCCAAGTTGAATTTTACAGCCCTGTCTGCCATGCAACATTAAAAAATAATGACCCAGAAAGACCCTGCTTTAAGCTGGCAAGCCGAATATCTTTGGTCACAACGCGAGAAAATTGAAAAGCGAACGCTGCGCGAAGATCACGTGGAAAGGGCGGGTAAAACGGAACGTATTCGGTTGATCCAGAAATTCGCGCAGCTCACGTGATACTGTGCCGGTCCCCAGCGAATGACTTGGCTACTGGGGCGGAAGCCGTCACTAATCGTCAGGGTTTCAGGTGGGGAGACTTCAACGTCAATCAAGCATACTCCGCATAACTTCCCCCCTCCGTTATTCGGAACAAATTTCATGAGAGACTGCATCTGTAACGATAAAAAAATTATTGCTAATTTCGTTTAAATGCGCATTGACAGCTTAAAGCATACAGGACGAAAAAAATTACTAAGCACTAACAAATATACAATGCGTACATATATCGTCATACGGCAGAGTGATTCAAGCTCAAATAAACAGACAAAAATATAAGAACAACAAGAAAGTTGGACAGCGTGAGAAAAGAGAACGAAGTCTGACATTCACATTCAGGCCGCGAAAGGAAAGTTCCACAAACCAAATAGCAGAATAAGTTCTAACTCACCGTTACGTCACGCAAGGCATGATGAGCAGAACCTTTAACGCTCGTCAAAAAATCTTCGAACGTCGCCACACATGACGTCCACGCCGGAAGAACACTGGATGAGCCATGAGAGGAATTTTCCAATGCAGAATGCGATCGAGCACAAACGAGAAATACTTCCAATAAACCTGCAGACAAAAATTTCCAAATCCTTCGTCGTCGCATCACGTATAGAAAACGGAATAGAATTTCATGAACATCAAGCCGAAAAATGTTGTACGTATAAAAAATTAAACAAAACCAAGCGAGCAAAGAAAGTGCACGAAGCTGAAATTCACAAGTTGAGAAAGGGAGACAAAATTATCGAACATCCGAGAAGAGTTACTGAGTCCTCCATTAAAGAAACGAAAAACCGTCTACACATCGATATGTGAACCACCCTGATTTACGCCCATTGCATCACCCGAATACTGATATATTCCGGAATCTAATTCAATTTTAATCGAACGAAAAAAACCGCTAAATAAACACGATTACTCACAGAACAGATACTCCTTGGCCTTCTCCTCATTCAAAAACTCGTCCAACGCAACAGCGTCTGCAGCCTCTTTGAATATCGTTTTAGCTTCTTTGAAAATATCAATCGTGGATTCCCACATTTTCATTATTTCCTCAGCTATCGAAGACGATTCCTCATTAGCATCAGAAAGATCTCGGAAAACGCTGTATTTGTCCTCGTCGGGATAAGTTACATCCACAGGGGCGACCATCCAGTCGGTCTTGGTAGAAGTAGTTTCATCAAAATGCAACGCGTCCGCGGAAGAAAAATCCAAGCTGGACACGGATTTGGTTTCCTCTTGGAGACAATGGGTAGCAAAAACGCTGTCAACCAGTTCAACGAATGTCGAAGGATTTAAATTGATATCAATGTGCTTCTTGGCTTCCATCGGTTGCTTCATCTCAGTCACGGTTTTCGAAGGTCCGTGAGGTGAGAGTTCTTCGTCGAAAGCGGCAACAAAATCGCCGAAGTCATCTTCGTTCACAGCAGCTTTCGTTCCATTCGGAATCAAAAGAGGAGCAATATTGTTAGGTACTGGAATTGAAGTTGGGGGAGGAAGTTGCTCCAGTGATTTCACATCTGGCAACGGAGGAATGATCTCTCGGGCATCACTAAAAGACTGTAGAATTTCACTCGGCTCCGTATCGTAGGAACTCGGTATTCGTTCTTCGTCAGTCACAAGTTCACGAAACGCGGCGTATTTATCATGCTCAACCGTTGACGTGACACTCTGGAAATCTGTCGTCGATGAAACGCACTGGAAATCTCCGAAATCGTCTTCGGGCAAACCTGGCTCATCTTCGGAAATTCTTCGCTGAGGAAACTTGACCCTCTCGAAAACGGGGGGAGAAAACCCCAGATTGATTTGGAATTCGGGAGACGGTTTCTCAGGTTCCTTCACAACATCGGACCTCGATAAGGCAGGGAAACTCGGAATAGGAGGCGATGGAAGAGACCAAATTGAAGCCAGAGACGTCACGGGTGTCCCAGCCTGGACGGTGCCAATCAAGGCGAGTACTGCTAGGAACTCCGGTGTTTCAAACGTAGAATCCGAACTGGGATGAACCATGTTCCATAATGAGCTCAGAACAGGGCCAGGAACTCCAGAGGAAGCAAAAATCTGGAATGCTCTAACAGGATCGGGATAGTTATCTGGTCCGAGTACTTCTTCCAAAAGTTCTCGGTATGGTGGAGGCATAGCACCAGCATTTGTTAACCATACTGGTGCATGACTCGCGGAAATTGCTGCCAGAACGCCTAACGGTAGTACCCTTGAGAGGTCAACACGATCATGAATCACCTGTGAAAATGATATAAATTATGAACAATTCGGATAAGGAATGCATTCTTCAGCTCACCTGAGGAGATCTGACTTCGAATTCACCTCGGGAAGGTTGACTTCTTGTGCAAGAAAAGCTTTCAGTCTCATTCTTTCCCCATTTCTGAACCTGCACGAAGATATAGATTCAAGATTGTGAAGCAGCACACCAATTAAGATGTCCAGCAGGACTTACAGGAATTTCTTCGTCAGCACCAATGAATTCGCTGAAATCCTCTCTTGGTAAACGAAGAGAGCCCGAATGTTGTAACCGAGGACTATCACGCATTTCCTTACGAGGAGCAGGAGAGTCAAGCATAGTTTTGATCATTTCGTCCGGCGTCAAGTTTCTCCCCTTTTAAGTGTTAGAAACATCGCGCATCAGCAATGATCCATAGATCACGGTATGAACCATCTCACCTTTTTCCCAATGCCCATTTGTTTCAATCGCTCTTGTTGCACATGGAATTGACGATCTTTCATGTTTTGAGAGCCCATTGATATCGGATGATTAATATGATTTTTTTCCAACGTACGAGGCTTCGACTGAGGTTGCGGAAAATTTGGTAACTGAATTGGTGCAGTTGAATCACATTTCACAACGACGGAATTCGGGTAAGATTCGGAAGTGGATGCATTTTCAACGGGCCACACGGATTCTTTGAGCCATATCGTGGACTTCGGAAGTCCATTCGAAATTGGAGCAAACACAGGAACGCGATAGGCATTCCCTTCGCCATCCATGGTAATGCGTAACCTTCAGGCGAACCACTCGGAGCTATCCTAGTTGGGGGGGACCCAACCGCAAAACTACGTCTATATAGATGTCGCTAAGAATGGCACATGGAACGTTCTTGGCGGACAAACTCCAATCATTCAACAACCCTGTTCTGTTGATCTTGAGGTATGCTATTGTCAGCCTTACCATCAGTCCATTTTATTCTGTATTCAAATTCATTACTGACTCTGTGAATTTCAACATGAATTGACACTTGCACTGCTTTATTGGAATTCTGCTGAGACTGAATTTGGGGGGTGGTTAGGTAAAGTTAGGTTAGGTCAGGTTAGGTCAGGATCATCGCAGTGTCGAATGGAGCACAGCAGAAAGCCGCCGATGGCTCTGGGTGAGACTGGCACTCATAGGGGTGGCGTGAAACAGGTAGCCCTGAATGGAGTGGCGTTGAGTGGAAGTTGTACCATAACGTCGCGTCACGCACCAGGTGATGTATGGTACAGTGTAAGGTGTTTTGCACAGGACAGTGCCATGTCTATTTTTAATAAGCTCTTAAGCTCCGCGTGTGCTTCTGTCTATTATGGCACCTACGCTCTGAACAAAATGGNATCCATAGATCACGGTATGAACCATCTCACCTTTTTCCCAATGCCCATTTGTTTCAATCGCTCTTGTTGCACATGGAATTGACGATCTTTCATGTTTTGAGAGCCCATTGATATCGGATGATTAATATGATTTTTTTCCAACGTAAGAGGCTTCGACTGAGGTTGCGGAAAATTCGGTAACTGAATTGGTGCAGTTGGATCACATTTCACAACGACGGAATTCGGGTAAGATTCGGAAGTGGATGAATTTTCAACGGGCCACACGGATCCTTTGAGCCATATCGTGGACTTCGGAAGTCCATTCGAAATTGGAGCAAACACAGGAACGCGATAGGCACTCCCTTCGCCATCCATGGTAATGCGTACCCTTCAGGCGAACCACTGGGAGCTATCCTAGTTGGGGGGACCCAGACTACTAGCTTCATCTACAAAAAAAAGTGGGTACTCCCTTTCATGCGCGCTCAGCCCTTGTACACTCCAATTCTTCAACAGCCCTGCTGTGCTGCCCATGAGGTAGCTATCCTCAGCCTTGCCACCGGTCCGATTTTATTCTCTATGCAGGTACAAATCCAACTGTGCATTTGAATTGAAATGTGAATTAACACTGGCACTGTTATTTTTGATTCTGCTGAGACTAAATTTGGGGGGCAGTTAGGTAAAGTTAGGTTAGGTCAGGTTATGTCAGTTAAAAATATTTCAGCCATACATTATAAAATGTGTTCATTGAAAATATTTTATTTAACACAACCTGACTTGAGTTTTCTGCAAAAACTGACTTTGGGGGGCAGTTATAGGTAAAGTTTGGTTAGGGTAGGTTATGTTAGTTGAAAATATTTCAGCTATGGATTTTATATGTTCATTACAAATATTTAAATTAACATTAATACATATTTTAACTAACCTAACTTTACCTAACCACCCCCCAAATTCAGTCTCAGCAGAATTCCAATAAAGCAGTGCAAGTGTCAATTCATGTTGAAATTCACAGAGTCAGTAATGAATTTGAATCCAGAATAAAATGGACTGATGGTAAGGCTGACAATAGCATACCTCAAGATCAACAGAACAGGGTTGTTGAATGATTGGAGTTTGTCCGCCAAGAACGTTCCATGTGCCATTCTTAGCGACATCTATATAGACGTAGTTTTGCGGTTGGGTCCCCCCCAACTAGGATAGCTCCCTGAGGTCATGATCATCGGTGTCGGTGTCGAACGGAGCACAGCAGAAAGCCGCTGATGGCCCTGGGTGAGACTGGCACTCATAGAGGTGGCGTGAAAGAGGTAGCCCTGAATGGAGTTGCGTTGAGTGGAAGTTGTACCATAACGTCGCGTCATCGTGGTCCACTACATACCATGTCACATTCCACAAAACGTGTCCTGTCACGGTACAGATAAAAATTATTCGAGAATTCGAGGCGCACACGAAGACAGATAATACCGTGGATGCGAGACTTGTTTTACCAAACTTTTCCCCGTAAGCGTTTTGAAACCTAACAGAAGCTAACGGTCGCCGGGCGCGCGCGAAGCGCTAGTGCGGATCGTTGTTGGACGATGCAAATGCGGGAAGCCGCCCGCAGATTATTGCGTGTTCCTCTTTTCGTGGATGCGAAGTCGTCTCTGGAGTTGTGACTGATTGACCAATTGTTTCTCTGCTTTCGTGCTGTGAGATACGTAGTGATTCGTTGCCTTAAATTTTCACTCAAGGGACCATCGAATGCACTTGAGATTATAATGTAGCCTTCTTTCGCAATTATAGATTCTATACGTTTTACGTGAATTTCGCGACTTCAAAGGGGACTTGGAAAATATGGTACAGTATTCATTGATTGCAGTATTTGTCCTGTACTTGTGGTGGCTAAGGACTATTATTTCAGGCTGGAGGTAAAGCAGGGAAGGATACTGGAAAGGCGAAGGCAAAAGCCATCTCAAGATCTGCACGGGCTGGACTACAAGTGAGAATAATAGAAGTCGTATTTTTGGATCAGTACTTTGACTCTTAATTTCTTTGCAGTTCCCCGTCGGAAGAATCCATCGTCATTTGAAAAGTCGGACGACCAGTCACGGAAGAGTAGGGGCGACCGCCGCAGTCTACAGTGCTGCTATTTTGGAATACCTGACTGCGGAAGTACTGGAGTTGGCCGGAAATGCGTCAAAAGATCTTCGCGTGAAGCGTATCACGCCGCGCCATTTGCAACTTGCCATCCGTGGAGACGAAGAGTTGGACTCTCTCATCAAGGCAACTATCGCCGGTGGTGGTGTCATCCCACACATTCATAAATCGCTCATTGGCAAGAAGGGTGGTCAAAAACCTGTCTGAAAATATCTGCCCGGTACAATAGCCTGAGGTCATTCGGAGTATCTTGAAATGATTTGTAAATTCTTATTATTGTCGATAAACTGTCGGGTCCCTTAAGCATTTTCGGCGTGGATTTTGCGGAAGTACCCGTTCTTGGTTTCTGGCCGAGATCTCAGTATCGAAAAATCTATCCCCAGCGCGGCCCGATAATCAAATTCGCTGAAATGTTGTTGCGAGTTTTGTACTTTTTTAAGTTAAGTCTCCGATTAGCAATTTCCTCAACGTTGATACGTGCATCTAGATGAGTTGTCTTGAACGATGAACTATTTCTTGATTGTCTGAGCGCATTGTTTTGAAGCATGTTTTTCTCGACTGTTGTTAAATATACATCTTTTTGTACGAGAAAGATGCGGTTATCGAAGTTTTTTCTTCATTTGACTTGTGACTCATTCCTTATCGAAATTTGCTTCCGAATTCGCAGAGTTTCTATTTATGTCATCTTAGTTTCGCATGCACACATTAGTGGTGTCTTGTTCCCATTTGCCAAGACGTTTACAAATTCACCCTGTTCTGTTTTCCCCTAGTTTTCGAGAAAAGGAAAGATGAGTTTTAATGTTGGGAAGTCGAGATCCGCAATGGCTCGCAGCACGAAGTCGAAGGCTTTCAATTTAGACGCGGACAGTGATGACGATGATCTTCTCGCGTCCAGTCAAGAAGCTAAATCTCAAATGTCATTTTTGTCCAAAACTTCCGTTTCTGCGAAATCTCCCTATTTCGCATTCCTCGAAGGCTGTGGAATACTTTTGAAATCCGGAAAAGGCAAAGACGTTCTGAGTGAGTTCTCGTTGCTGTAAATTTAAGATAAATCTGTTTTCTGTGAGGTACTGTAAATAATCTTTATTTATACGTATCTTTTTTTCGGCGAATTGCCGTTTCAGCCACCTATGCGACAAATGCACTGATGCTTCTGGAAGATGGACTGCGTAAGGAGACGTCGCAATATCGACAGGGTTTCGAAAAATTCGTTTCGGATTATTTCAGCCATAAAGACTGCCTCAAGTTGTCTTTGATGCTGTTCGAGTTTCATCCAGGAGATCCAGCAATGCATGACACTTCTCTTGGATTCGCGCGTCTGTTGCTGACCGTTTCTTCGATCCAGTCTCAAATTTTTCATTTGCTCTTGGATAAAGCCATCAAATTGGGCGACGAATCGCAGAAGATGAGAGACGGCGTTAACTGGATTCAGTTGATACTTGCTCGGATAGGAAATATACCTGAGCTTGTGAACTCGGATGAAATTTGCGATAAACTTCTAGGGTTGCTGGGAACCCAGCCTGTTTCAACTATGAAAATTATCATTTCGCATTTGGCTGGGATTTTAGGCGAAGCCCAACACGAGAGGGTTGCAGAAAAACTCATGTGAGGATTGTCGTTTTCCGAATTGGATTGCCAGCTCAACATTTGTTCAGTTTTTTCTAAATAAAAATTGGAAATTCGGTTCATAATCTCCCATATAAGATAACCATTTCCCCTCAAAATAAATATAAATGTCAAGGTTTGCAATGTCAAATCTGTGACGCAGAAGGTGCTCACTCAATCAGGACAGCAATTGGAATAAATCTTGAAAAAATGCCTGCTTTGTCTTGTGGAACAATTTGTCTAAATATAGATACATAATCGAACAAAAATGCCTTGAAAGTTTCAACAATTCTCACATTCCAATGTTCAAACTGACCCATTTCAGCTTTTTTTTCTCGTTTTCCTGAGCAAATGTTTTATACTGTGCCTAAAGTCGTCAGAAGTTCTGGACTTTGCACGAAGCAAGGCAATAAATAGCTCTCTTTGAAAACTGTACTTGATAATGTTTCCCATATTTTTTTATTTAGGGAAATTCGGGAACGTGAAATTGAGCTTACGCCGGTCATCCTGGATGCCCTGTCTAACCTTTGTCTCGACTCAGAAACCAGCCAACGTCTGAAATCACGTCTTGTCTCTTCAGTCGCATCTGCAAACCCCGCTGTTCTTCCAGAACTTGTCTTCTTCCTCCTCGATGGTCTCACTGCCGAAGAAATCAAGACCATGGTTCCGAAGATCCGAGATCGACTGCACATCTATCAAGAATCCGCGGAGAGCACCTCGACAGGCGATACTCACATGTCTTTGCTTATGTACAGACTCGGATCCTTGTTAGAAGACAGAAATATTGCAAGGATATGGAAATCTACTATGGAGAAATCGAATGCATGGCGATCTAGTGATCTGGTGGTGCTCTTGATACTTATGAGAGTCGACTCCTGGACGTGCAAATTGGCGCTGAATTTCGCGAAGAATAAGATCACTGCCGGGATCTTTGACGTGAAAGCTGTGGATGTAGTTATTGATAATGCCCCTGAAGTTTTGGGAGTTTACATGAAGCAGTACCTGGAGTTGGCCCGCGGTTTGCTACAGATTGGAGATCCGGCATGTGTAGCCTTGGGACGTCATATGCATCAGTATGTTTTCATTTTCCAAACAAACCTCGCATTTCTTTTCTTTCTGGAAATTTTCATGTAGTAGGTTCTTCTTGAATTTGGGATCCATTTACGTCAACGTCAGAATACTCATTTCAAGTTTATTCTTTCTTTTAGGATAAAAATGCGCGAGAGCCTTTTTAAATGCCTTACTTTTGGATCCACTGGTTTGATTATTATTTATCCTAGTACCTGCTGCTGCATACTTATTCCGTTTGACCTTAGATGTGGGTTGACGGATTTAAAACCAGAGTGCAGAGCACTCCAAGGCAGCCTAAAATGAAAGGGGGCACGAGAAAATCCCGCGGTTCGGAAATCCCGTTGGGCACGTAATCCCGTTTACCTTGAAAGATTGCGGGGTACGAAAACCCCGTGAATCCTGGAAGTGAGTCTGCGTTTTCCTTCCAACTGTTTTGAAAGGAATGAAAATCTGGTGGATTATGAAAGTATGTATGGGTATTCCTTCCAATGGTTTTGAAAGTTTAGGATTACTTTTTGCAACAGAGAAGAGTCCTAAGAAAGATGTAGCCTACATTCCTGCATTTGTTTTCTATGAGAAGTGTGTAATTTTCTAATAATTATCACAGTTCAGCTTTGCCTCTGAAGTGGAAAACCTGCATGAATTTGCGAACTCCGAATTTTTTATTGCATTGAGTTGTGTTTTACTTTGAGATATTGGACTCTGAAAGAAATTCCACTATCAAATCAAATTGAATTTAGACTTTTTGATTGCGGTAATTTAGAAATTGTGTACACACCATAACCTGTTGCTATAGTCATCAAAGGGGATTTTCATGATACATGAATTCATGTTTCGGGATTTTCGTACCCCGCGAGATTATCAGGTCTGTACGGGATTATTGGAAAAAACTATTTGGATGGGGTCCATTTTTTCATGAAGGGAATCTTAAAAGCTAGGTATTCAAAAATGACATTGAAATAAAAATAACTTCAATAATTGTTTATTGAAAACTATTTGTGTTCGGAGACGGAAAACGTGTTGACAGCTAGGCTGTATAGTATTCCCTCATCTGTGCATATATGTATTGCAATACGAATATTCGTTGAATGAACTATCCTTTTGAAATGTATTTTATATACAGTATATATATTTTTATTTATTTATTTTTTTTCATTTCAGGAAAGCCTTTGTGGGACTCAAGCCAAGATTTCGTCAAGATGTGATGATGTCACTCACTGGCTTAATCAGTTCTTCTGCCACCCAGAGCAATGGTCGACCGCCTCCTGCTTTGGAGGCTTTGGCGTATCTGGTTCGCTATCATCCGAATTTGGTTGCTGATCACGCCCACAAACTCACGGTGAGTCCTATAATCGATTTAAATTCATTATTTGTAAGACGGAAACCTTTTCTGTATTCATGTGAGTTCGTGCAATATATTCAGCTATTTAAGAAATGTTATTTGGAGAGTACTTGAACGCGTCTCCCCGCACGCCTCTTCGGTTTTTGTGCTTTTATGCGAGATTTTTTAAAATTTGCAAATTTACTACTAATATCTGTGAATGTTTTAGAATTTCTTGGAATGGGTCAACAGCCGCCCGGTACCCCAAGTCCGAATGATGCTTGACGTGTACTGCACGATAGCCTGCTTTTCCCTTCCGGATGGATCTCCTTATTCCGGGACGTGCCAGAAAATGCGTTCTGAAATGCTCATGGTGATCAGGAAGCGTCTGGGAAGAATGTCAACCAAGTAAGTTTTTCGTGAGATTCGAAATGCGCGGAATTTCATGCCACGCTGTTTTCAATGAGCGACAGGTTGGAAAAAGTGGGGGTCATTGCCGCAGCCATGTTGCTGAAAGCTCTGGCGAATCAAAGGTAAGATTTCTTCTGGGTTTTTTTTCAAGACTTGCTAATGGATCAAAATGTCATTCATTTTTCTTGGAGAAACTTTTATTTTTATGGAATTACTGTATTATAAAAAAACGCCCTTGAGGGATTTGTGGTATACAAAAATCGTATTATTGTGAATACCGTATCTTCAATTCTCGATCCCCTTGGCAAAATAAACGCAAGCACGATTTACTGTTGTGCAGTATATTGTAACACATGTTTAATCGCGAAAATAAGCCTTAGTCCATATCAAAATTATGTAATTCGTTCATTAAATACGGGAAATTCAATAGTGTACAAACTGTAAAGCAGCTTGTTGCGACATTAATTCTGTGCGCGTTGGCATCTCATAACACTGCATCTATGGTTTGAGCTGAATTTAATTTCTCGGTGTTGGAAATGTCATTATTCGCAATCAAAAAAGGATTGATTTTGAATTGAAATGAAAGCAGGCAGCAAGACACGGTCGCTCAGGTGGGATCCGGATTGCAGGATAGTGGTGATACGCGAGACTCTGAGGCCACGGAAGAAATCATCAAGAGAGATCCGGGATTCGAAGAGATTAGCTCTCTTTTGCATTTGACCCAAAGAGCAACTGAGAGACACCCGATAGCTCTCGCACTACTATACGATCAGTTTTCCGATGTTCTTGGCTCCGGAGTTCTGGCGTCCGGCGCCACTATCCAGGTAATTTAAATTTTGGAAATTCTCAATTATTTGCGAACAGTTGGCTAATATCTTAGATTTCTTGATTTTCCCGAAATTATAGTAAAAGGAACTATTCCACTGTTGGCCAGTAACTCGTAATATTCAGCGTAAGTTCTGTAAAATACTCAATCCGTGATATTCACTATAGAAAGTTGATGAATTCGATTTCGTTCATTATACCCTATTCACCTTATTGACTTACATTTTGTATCCCATCAAACATAAGTCATCAGAATTTGAGTAAGGATGTAGAAAAATAAAAGCGGGTTGAAAATTTGTGAGAGTAGTAAAATTATTGTTATCCGAATTGCTGTCTTGAAAAAAATGCATCGTTCCAGTAAAATAACATTTTAAAATTTTAGAGTCGAAATAAATTATCATTTTTCTGGAGTTGGTATAATATGTACTGTATGTTGCTACAGAATGTAAAAAAGTTTTGAATCTAATTCTTTACATTATCTCCCTTTTTCGTTGCGAAATCTATCAAGTCTTGTAAATGGTAATCTCTACTGTCGTTGACGTTATTTTGTTTATTTCAGGATTATTTTTATCAGCGTACTTATCGACAGTTTTCGAAGGACACGTACGTTGAAGATCAAACCAACCTTCAAAAGTGAGTTACTTCCTGTCCCCTCGCCGATTTCACGAGATCCGTCTTTATAATCTCCATTGATCGTGTTACTAATACGCATCTTTGGTCCTTCTTACTGTACTTCAGCGTCTTTACTTCCGGACCCTACGATTTCTTTCCCTGAAGCACAGATGTCGCGTAATTTTTTCCTCGAGTATAACTTAGGTTGTGTACTCGGGTTACATCGTTTCGTGTTATTTTTATTCTTTTAAAGTTCGAACGATTTTTTCCTGATGTTACGGAGACAATTTTCATGTGCTAGATTTGAATGAGTTGTACTCGTCCAACTCATAGGACGAGTACGGGCTTATTTTCCGGGAACACCCAGAAAACGTCGAGTGCTTTTATTCAAATATAGCACATGAAAGAACTCGACGTTCCTGGGTTTTCCCGGAAAATAAGCTTGTAATCGTGCAATGAGTTTGCACTAATTTGAGACTCAAGTCGAAGTATGAGCCTTACGACGAGAAGTCACCCTTGGGACTTCTTTGGAGTGTGATGCTAAGGAGGAATACTGTATATTTTCTCCACTTTGAACTGGAAAAGCTGCAAAGTCAATATATGCTTTCATGAATTCATGCCAATTTTTTATTGAATGATTTTGCCATTAATCCCTGTCAAAGATTTTACGAAACAATATTTTTTTCCGTGTCTACCGGACGACACTTACAGTCGGAATTCTAAAATGTTCTCCTCATCAAAATATTAGATTTTATTTCGGGATTTTATGTAGGATGGTAATTTGAAAAAGTTATCTTTTTGGGTGTAAAAATTATCCTGACCTTTTCGGAAACCCTTTATGAGTACTGTATAATATTCTGAACTTCGCTTTGTACTGTATATGTCGTCCAACTTCTCTCGCTGAAATAATTGTATTTGAACTACAGATTTACCGCGAGTGACTCGTACGATATGCGAGTCCTGTTCGAGCTCGACGATGCGTCGACCAGCGTTACACCGGGAGATAAAATATTCTTGAACATCGGTGGCCTGTTGTTGCAAGATGCGAAAAGCAACCCACGTCCAAATGTCCAGCGAGTCATGTCGGATTTATACGCTTTGCTACCAAAGTTTCGAATGCTGGTGGCGTGTGTCACAAACCGCGGAAAGGATTTGGAAAGCATTTTTTCTCTCCTTGAAATCGGGATCTTGGTTCCCACCATTATTTTGGGGAAAAGTCCGGCTACGGGTAAGTTGTCCAAGTAAAAAAAAAAAAAATTTTTGAATGGGAATCTCTAGTCATTTTCAAAATTTATAGTGAATCAATTTTTGCTACGCACAAAGCATATACGCAAAGTTTATCAAAGCATCCGATTCTTTTTTGGAATGTTCCCTGCGTGAAACTTGAAAAAACATACTAGCTTCTTCGCGAAGATATTTTCGAAAAATATATTTTACTTGATCTAATGGATTTTTTGGGTATCAGCTGAAAGCGTTACTCAAACAAAAATCAAAAGTGAAATGGAAAATATTTTTCTTTACTCTTTGGATATTCCTTTAGGCAATATTACTTGACATCAATTTTCCTCATGAAGTTGAAATGAACAACTCCATTTTCATAGTCCTACTCTAAGCTAGGAGCAATGAATAACAGAGAACTTTCAGCAGTTTGATACTGTTGTGGAATTTCTGACGCGAATGTATCAACAGAAAAAATTTAAAGCAACATCTTATCAATTTCCCCCATCAGGAATCAATCTAATTTTGTAAAGTACTGTATATGAAAGCAGTTTTCAATATTTTTACTATTTCCATTCATGCTGGCCAATATTTGCATATATTTTGCCGAGACAGTGATTAAAGTAGCTTCATTTCCGCCGGATTTCAGGTGTCGTTAACTGGGACTGGGATTGGGAGTCGCTGGACCAGATTGCGCAGAAGAACGTGTTGCGCACATATTTTTACGTTGCGAATTGGTTCATCGAAATCATTTCCGCATTTGCGGCGGAAATCCGACAAGACGACCCGGAACTATTGTATCTCGTGTTGAACCGACTCCGACAGCTCATCTACGTGCGTCGATTTCTCTCTCGCGTTTTGGCCGAATGTGTCGGCGTGGATTTTGTTCCACCACCGGCGAGATTCGAAGTGGACCATCCGAAAAGTTTGATAATCGGTGGCCCTCCAAGTGGGACATCCGGCACAGGTGCCAAACGCGGAAGGAAGCGAAAAGCGTACGACTAATTTTTTGATGCAATTCTCAACTTATTTTCAACTGATTATTTTGGCGGTGTCCGAAAAGTTTCCACGCTTTTGAAAACAGCATCATTTTTTGGGGCGTGGGTGCCCCGAATCTCGGGTGATATACGGGCATAAAAATGTTCATTTGTCATGTCAAGGAAGTGTTTGAGTGATTATTTTAATTGAAAATGAATATTCCCGCGACCGCGTCATGTATCGAATTAAATTTTAATGACGCTCATGGGCTCTAGAAGTAACTTCGAATGAAACAATATGTAAAATTAAAATTCAATTGTGAATGTAAATGACGTCTGCTTTTGCTGAAACAGGGTGCTCTTCCTTTGAAAATAAAAAAATTTCGTCCGGAACAATTATTCATTACTGCAGAGTGAACTTTTGGATACCAACGCAAATGCGACAAAAATTTTGGATGAATATAAATACAGTTACTTATTATGCTCGTTTTCAAATTGTAAGAAGAGGACCCGACTTGAAGTACTTTTGGTATTTTGGTTTTTCAGAATATTCCTTTACGAATTACCTCTGCTAAGATCTTTCATGAGGTACTGAAGGGAATTAGGTTAGGTAAATATTAAACTCCCTGAGCTGAATTCCTTTGCCTGGGACGAATGTTTTTCTTTCTTTCAAAAGTGAGCTGAAGAAATCAAAGGAAATGAGATTAAAGCGTTTCGAGGAAAATTGATTTTCTGAGCTAACAAGAGATTATCTTCCGTAAAAAAGTGTAATTACCTTCTTACGATCACCTATTCTCAGTTTGTGAAATTAATACAGTAGTTCTATAATGTTTTCGAACTTCTGCTTTTCTGCTGCTGAAAAGTGAACTGAAAAAACCTAGAAAACGAGCTCGAATTTTTATTAATGCAGTCTCTTAGCTGACTTCGTCATTTCATCGAGTCAAAATTTGCATTCTTACAAGCGCCAATTTCGAGGTTTGGAAACTTATAAAAAGGTTGCCATATTATGTTGAAGCACATTTGTTGGCTTCAAAAATGTAAAAATCTTTTTTTTATATCAGGGCTGTCATCAACGAAGCTGAGCAAAGCTTGGTGAGAGGAACTCAAGAAAGTTGCGAACCAGCGACGCCTAGAACTCAGCTGCAAGAAACCACCTCGCCTGAGAAAGCAGGCTACGATGCGAGTTGTAAAAACTTGACCCAATTCAACATCTACTTCCGCGAATTGGGCTTTCCGGCGTTCAAAATATTTCAAGCGAATCTCGACCTTCGCTTGGAATTTGAAAACTGCGCACATCTGGAAAAAATCCCAGAGATGCCTCCGGTTCGTTTGGGTTTTCTTAACCTACTGTGTGTAGGTTAATCTGATTTTTTGGGTTATGATTACCTAGCAACCATGTCCGAATTTTCGTTTGTTAGTACAGTGGACAGTGTAGTTCTAATTTTTTATTGAACCCTCTTTATTTCCCCAGGATCGACTAATGAAGAATACACTAATTTTAGCTTATTATTTATTTTTAAAACTTAATGAACAAAATATTTTACCGGAAAAAATTAAAGAATCCTATTATCCGTTGTACTGTACTGTTTTCAATCATGCAGGCAAAGATCTCCAAGCATTTTCCTGGATAATCGAAATTCTAATCTATCGTATGACTTCAGAAATTCGTTCATGTTTAATAATCCGCATACAAAGATTTTTGGTTGATGGAATGTAGATACAATTTTCGTGTTTCCAAATTTTGCATCTTCTTCATATTAAGAAATTTCGAGGGAAATTGGCATCGCTTTGTTGATAAATTTCATTGAACACAAAGCAATCTCCATCGCAGATGAAGAAAACTGTTGCGATAATTCTTTGATCGGTTGATCGGAGTTCGACTGAAAAATATTTTATGATAATTTTTATTTATAGTTTTTCAACGTATAATTGTATTTGATTCTCTTCTGTCGAACAGGGGGAAATGCCATGCTTGGGTCTCGAAGAAGCTGAATATTTGCTTACGGATTTAAGCGAGAAATTGGACTTCGTATTCGGATCCACGCACAAGAAACACTTCGGGCGTCCTGCCGCTGAAGATTCCTTGGCTGCAGTACTGCATTCCAATTTGTCGCTTGCCAAAATTAAAGATGTTGCCACCATGACTTGCGGGATTCTTGGATTCCTTGCGGGGTATTTGAAGGTAATCTTGCAAAACTTCATCCCGAATTCTTTGTTCAAACAGCTGAGATATTCGTTGAAAATGTGTTCTTCTTATTCATCTTCTCTTCGAAAAAAAATCCTGATAAATGTCAACAACAACTTGGAAAGCATTTTTATGACTATGATTCATTCCCCATTTATTATTTATATATATATATAGAGGAAGATGAAATGTTTAGAACAACCGTTGATAAATCTGATATTGACGAAAAAGGGGTTTCCAGTGATGCTGAATTTATTACTGAACGTGACTTGAATAGAGAAAATAAAGAAAGAAATTTAGCAACAGAGATCATGAATTGTGATAATTTAGAAGTGGAACATTTTTATATTGACGGAAAAAGGCATATTTTAAATTTTTCATTGAGCATGACGCGACAAGAAAGTCCAAGAAAAAATTTCCGAGAGCAATGACTGTAAACTTGAAAAGGTGCAGCAATTTTCCCGTCTTGCACGAGGAAAGTTATGATACAAAAGCTTCAAGAAAGTAATTAAAATCGATGAGCCCATTCTTGCGTTCGATATTTTTTAGTTTAAGAAGAGACTTTTCAACTGTAATTCGACGTCCATTGACGTGACAAGACCTTTTGAATGACTCACGAGAGTCGCTCGATATTTCACTAGTGAAGCGATTTACTCGAAACAATCCATTCTGGTTTTCCAGGTGCTCTGTCAGCATTTCATGGAGATCATATCGGCTCGTGATGGAATCGAAGACTCGATGGAGATGTTCAGTCCGAAATCCCGCGTTGTCAGTCGGGTAATGAACCTCATTTTGCGTTGTTGTAGGGCCTATTTTTCCTGGCCTGCTTTCAATCGACCCGAGGAGCAAAAGCTCCTGGAAGAAAGCTTGAGAGCCATCTGCGGATCCTTTCATTCTGATGAAGTGTCGAATTCGCAAGTACCCATGTTGAGTTTGGTAAGTGTTGTACTGTACTGTATTTCGCATTGCTTCAATAGACATTCTGAACCATTGAATACGATGAAAGTACCTAAAAATGTTCGTTGGTCAGTTCGTTGTTGCTGGTGTGATGAATTATTAATTATTTTAAAGCTGTTGAAAGATTTTAAAGTCAATTACTAACCAAATCATGTGTACGGTACCGTATTTTTAGAAGCTGGGAAACTTTTTCGTAATGTTTTTGATCGATGAGCATTACTTGAAATGATGCTCCACATACTGTTCGATTTCATGTGAATAATTGCCCCATTTTCCGATAATTAAACTGGTATTATACAACTGTTGAAGTCACAACAGTTTTATAATACGTCAGATTTTTTGACAATAATGAACGTGCTCTTTTTGAAGTAGATCTCATTTTCAAATGAAAAGAAAGTAAATGGAAATGTGCATTACAGTATGTATTTTTTTATGCAATTCTTGTGGCAGATCCATTGCAAATGAATGCAAAAAAATCGAGATCAACAGGGTGATTCATTTTGATTTGGAAAAGCAGTTGCACCACCAATTTGAGTCTCCAAGTCGAAAACGCATGTATATAAACTTTTTATTTAGTCTCTCTGAATGTGTTTGAAAACAATGTCATCCTAATTCAAAGACTTCCTCGCTCTTTGGAGATATTAGCCGCTAAACTTTCCATGCCATGACATAAGCTGATTAATAAGACCCTCGGTCCTTCCTCTTCTCGTCATTTTTACATCAAGACTACGAAAAATCTTACTTCATTAGTAAGATTAGATTCTAACGTCATTATCATTCTAACGTGATTGAATGATTATTTTAATCAATTAGAATGATTACTTCATTCTAATTGATTAAAATAATCATTCAATCACGCACTCTAAGTAATTAGAGTGCGTGACTAATTAAGCGAGTAAACCTTCCGTCTAAGTTCAGCATCCTGCCGAATCATTTAAGAAAGAATTGAAGGCCTAGATTTAGAATATCACCAATTAAAATTTCCCCTAATTCTTCATTTTTCCAGCAGAATTCTGCTTTTCCAACCTCAAAACTTCTTGAGTTGAATTTTTTGTGGGTCCCTCGTTAGTTCGACGAGTCGTGCGAGCGTTAGAAGGGGAAGAACGCGATTTTTATAATAGGTGGCAAAAGTGACGAAAAAAAACACGTTCTAAGCATCATAATTTTCTTTTTAAAAGTCTCAAATTTTCCGGAATACATTTTTGAATGAGTACGTCTTATTGTGAATGCGAAAGAGATATTACGAGAAACTGTTTTGTGGTTANTCTGAATGTGTTTGAAAACAATGTCATCCTAATTCAAAGACTTCCTCGCTCAAACCTCTATAATCGGCGATTTGAAAGGTACGGTACTGTATTCGACTAATTATTCTGGGAGCCAGGAAGGAGAAGAGCAGTAAAAATGTAGTTCTGATGCTTTTTAGAATGAAGTAATCATTCTAATTGATTAAAATAATCATTCAATCACGCACTCTAAGTAATTAGAGTGCGTGACTAATTAAGCAAGTAAACCTTCCGTCTAAGTTCAGCATCCTGCCGAATCATTTAAGAAAGAATTGAAGGCCTAGATTTAGAATATCACCAATTAAAATTTCCCGTAATTCTTCATTTTTCCAGCAGAATTCTGCTTTTCCAACCTCAAAACTTCTTGAGTTGCATTTTTTGTGGGTCCCTCGTTAGTTCGACGAGTCGTACGAGCGTTAGAAGGGGAAGAACGCGATTTTTATAATAGGTGGCAAAAGTGACGAAAAAAACACGTTCTAAGCATCATAATTTTCTTTTTAAAAGTCTCAAATTTTCCGGAATACATTTTTGAATGAGTACGTCTTATTGTGAATGCGAAAGAGATATTACGAGAAACTGTTTTGTGGTTATTGCTTTGTAGGCGACGATTGCTTTTGAATCTATGCAAGCTTTGAGCGAATACGCTCCTGACCTAGAAACTGCTGTCGAGCTGCTTCTGTTCCTGGAAACTATCGCAAATGTGTCAAAAGTTGATCGAAATGTGGAAGAGTTTCCAAGATCCCAGGCTCTCGGAACTCAACAGCTACGCAGATCTCACGCGAAGGTCATTCCACTCGAACGCGCCGAAAAACTGAGTAAATTCCATTTTAATTTTCAGAAAATATTGCAAAGTCATCAAATAATCTTTTTACGGTGTGCGTTTTTCCCATGTTCAGTCGAGTGCGCTGAGTTGTATTTGAAACGCCCGTGGATGGAGAAGTTTAAACCTGGTGACTGCGTAAGAGTCGGTCAGATTCTGACGCTTTATGTCGCTCATTTGTCTCGTTTGGACGACATTTGGGTTCGCATGAAATTCCTGGACATGCTTGTTTCTGGGTCTTTCGGCAAGGCTTTGGAGAAAATTGACGACGACCCGGATTACCGAGATGCCCGCTTTCCTACTCTTAACAAGTAAGTCGGATTATTTGATTCAAGGTTCGTGCAAAAGTTTCTGAAATTCTTGTGTAAAAACGTTCTACACCAACGATGCGTTTTTATTTTCATGGAATACAGCGAGTCCCCGCGTAACGAAAAATTCGTATGGGGTAAACGTGACTCATGTAACGACTTTTTTTTTCGCTCAACAAAATTTGAGGGATCGAAAATGCTGAATTTTTTGGCTACAACTGAAATTGTTCAACAAAATGGAAAAACAATTTATAAAAGAAGTTTATAGATGTGTTCTTCGTGCTTATAAAATGTGTGAAGTTCAGAAAGTTAAAAACGCAAACTTGTCAGGATTACAGTACAGTACTAGAATTTAACACGGATAAATGTCGAAGTCACAAATGAAAGCCTTAAACTAAGAATAATAGTATACCGTTAAGGTTTATTATAGGCTTTTGAAGAGTTTCTGGAACATANCTCACGCGAAGGTCATTCCACTCGAACGCGCCGAAAAACTGAGTAAATTCCATTTTAATTTTCAGAAAATATTGCAAAGTCATCAAATAATCTTTTTACGGTGTGCGTTTTTCCCATGTTCAGTCGAGTGCGCTGAGTTGTATTTGAAACGCCCGTGGATGGAGAAGTTTAAACCTGGTGACTGCGTAAGAGTCGGTCAGATTCTGACGCTTTATGTCGCTCATTTGTCTCGTTTGGACGACATTTGGGTTCGCATGAAATTCCTGGACATGCTTGTTTCTGGGTCTTTCGGCAAGGCTTTGGAGAAAATTGACGACGACCCGGATTACCGAGATGCCCGCTTTCCTACTCTTAACAAGTAAGTCGGATTATTTGATTCAAGGTTCGTGCAAAAGTTTCTGAAATTCTTGTGTAAAAACGTTCTACACCAACGATGCGTTTTTATTTTCATGGAATACAGCGAGTCCCCGCGTAACGAAAAATTCGTATGGGGTAAACGTGACTCATGTAACGACTTTTTTTTTCGCTCAACAAAATTTGATGGATCGAAAATGCTGAATTTTTTGGCTACAACTGAAATTGTTCAACAAAATGGAAAAACAATTTATAAAAGAAGTTTATAGATGTGTTCTTCGTGCTTATAAAATGTGTGAAGTTCAGAAAGTTAAAAACGCAAACTTGTCAGGATTACAGTACAGTACTAGAATTTAACACGGATAAATGTCGAAGTCACAAATGAAAGCCTTAAACTAAGAATAATAGTATACCGTTAAGGTTTATTATAGGCTTTTGAAGAGTTTCTGGAACATAATAATGAATTTATAATCGAGCCTTGAGAGAAACCGTGTTTCGCTTTACGAAAATTCCACAGAACAAAACACATCTTGGAACGGAATTAGTTTCTTGGTGTGGGAACCCACTGCATACGATACATTTCATTTGAATTATTTTTTTATCTGTATTTTTTGGTTCTTATATTTTATCCGGATGAAGTACAGTATTACAATGCGTATTCATTGCAATTTGAAGTACAGTACTTTTAGTGTAACCTGAAAGTTTTTCATTGCTCTTATATAATATTTTACGGCGTTCTCTAATAGGTTTGACTTGCGTTGAAAACCTATAACATCTAAATTAATATTGTATAATCCAACTAACGTTGAGTTTGGATAACACCCGTTTAATTTCGAAAACGTGGACGTTCTTCGTTCAAATGAATAGTTATTTTACTCGATGACGTCCCTGGTGTATACAAGTATTTCAAAAGCTTCTGAAATCACAGTTCTGTATTTCACATCCAAAGTTAAAAAAAATAATATTAAAATTAGTCCTGCTTCGTTGATGAGGGGATTAATTATGAGGAAAGAAAATTAAAGTTGTATAACGTTGAGGGATACAATTTTCTTTTCTAAAATTCAAATTATTGCAAACTGGTAGCTCAATTTGCAGAAGTTTTTGGAATGACAGATGGGATACTGTATAGGTAACTGTTTCATGTGCTGTAGTTCCCCCTCCTCTGTGAATACTGCTGAAAAATACTGGTTTCAGCACACCCATGAGATATGGGTGTGACATGGGTACAGTAAAATGATGACCCTCATGCCAAAAGGCACCAGTGTCCAAGTTTTTCACCCATTCTCAGCCAACCATGGAATATGGGTTGGACATGGGTGCTTTCATGCCTCTTTTTTTAGGCCAGCAAGAAGTATGGCTGACTATTTGCTGGGTCAATATATTCCTTTTTTTCCAACAGACAAACACTTGCGGTATTTCACAAAGCAGCCTTGATTGGAGTGTTGGCTGTTGCCAAGGACATCAGTTTCGCAATAGATATTGACACTCAGGTGTCGCCTTCAAAGCACGTAGATTCCGACGACGATTGGTGTCGACGTTCGCGGGATTCCGAGCCGATGAACCAGCTGCGCTTGTGGCAAAAGGCGCTCGACATGCTGGAAGTCCTTTGTCGCAAAACTCTGGAGCGATATTCGAATAAAACATTTTTCTTGCAAGCCGTTAGGGTGAGTCAATGTGCGACTGCAATCTTGTCTTTTCATTTTGTTGCCACTTTTCGAATTGCGTTCAAATGGGGATGAATTGCGCTGGGATCCGTTGGAAACACTCTGCTAGCGTCGTGCTCATTATGTTACGTTCGGTTTTTGATTGATTATCAGCGCAGCGTGAAATCACAGTATTTAATTAAATCCTAAGAATTGATTCGATTGGAAATATCGCACCGTGTTTCTGCCAATTGAACACGTAATCCAAAAATATGTCTTAGCGCTGTTGATGGGCAACTCTGTGAATACCTTGCATAATTACACGTGTGTATAGACCGCACCCAGCAATTGAAGAGCAATTTCATGGAAGAGAAAAAAAGTGTTTGTTCTGCCAACGGTTTGGAAACATTTTTAGGGGACTTATATGTGCTAATTGTACACGAACAAAACTGACAAATTATCGTGTAGGAAAAATTCAGTTTTATTTCCAGGGAATAGCTGTGAACAGGGTCTCTTTTTTGTAAAATTTTTCATCGAGAGAATAACTTCAATGCCTTTAGTTGGTTGAAATGGGTTATCGAGTTTTTTTTAACACTGCAGTTTCACAATGGTTTTTGTCTCGTATTTTCTCAGTTTGGTGGCAGTTTCCTGACGGAACTGTCCCGATCAGGATTCCCGGTCATGCAAGGATTATTTTCCTCGCACCGTGAAGAGGTTTTATCACTGATCTCCTCAATCCAGAAAAATCACACCCGCTTCTTTCAACACGTTTGTTCGCAAACAAAGGTACTGTGATGTGATTTGGTTGTGATGTGATTTACTACGACGACAGTCTGCAAGTCCCGAATATGGACTGTTCTAATCATTTTCAACAGAAAGCGAAGGATGTTGGGATAGGGAAATTCATTCCCACGCTGAGGAAGAGTCTGGAAACTTTCTTGTTCCGGGTGAAGGGAATGCTGGTGGCCAATAACTGTGCCGCAGCTTTCATAATCGGAAATTTGAAGCACAAGGATGTTCACGGTCACGTCCTGGCATCACAGGTATCAATTTCGTTGCATATTTTCCGCTATACTGTTCACGTCTCGCAAAATGTTCTCCTTTTTCGTGCTTCAAAAAATGAATACCTTTGCGTATTTTCAGGGCAATCTTATCCCTATGCGATGCTACCTTCCTAACGTGACCAACATATTTACTTGGGTACCACGCGCAAACATTTTTTTTTTTCGAAATTCTAAGGAAAAAGGGGGTGCGCGTCATATGAGGGTATAAATTATTTACAATTTTAAGAAGTTTAGGTGCGCATGATACTCGATTCTGATGGGATTTTTTCGACCAATTATGTCAGAATAATTGATTTTATGGAAACAATTGAAACCTGGTTGCTACTTTCAAAATATTGCAAGTTTTGAGTCACTAAAAATGAGTTGCGTTTCTTACTCGATCTCGCGTGGGACTGGAGTAAATAGGGGTATTTTTTTATTATTAAGATTCCACGTACATTCGGTTGAAATGCCAATTCAGTACTGTACGTGTAATTACGAAGAAAGACTTTAATTGTACTTCACAAATGGAGTTGATTTTAGAGAGCGTAATTTCTTGCAGATGGATTCCGAAGACGAAGAATCATGCGATGAAATGGTTGAAGAAGAGCCAGTGGAAGAAAATGAAGATGAGGAACCAATGGAAGTTGGAAGTGACGATGAAGCTGGTGATGATTGAAATATGTGATTTTGCTATTTTCCGCCTACATGTCCTCTTTCTTTTGAAGTTTTATAAGCAAGGCTTTTATTTTTCATATTCGCGCGTGGAACGAATCATTACTTGATATGAGCTGCGTTCATTTCTCAAGAAGCTGGTGCCATCTCATTTCTCGATAATTATAATCGCGGGCTAAGTAAGTTATAGATGTACTATTGAGGAATCTTGGAACAGTATACATACAAGCAGTCAAACCTCTTATATAAATAAGTCTTACCTTTTGAATACATGTACTGTACAGTTAACACAGTAAGAAAGATATTTTGTTCAATAACAGATTTGTAGGCAAGGCGCCACGGAATGTTCCCAAGAATATGTGTTCACCTCGTTTGCTGCTTTGTATCGTCGTGCGGAGATCTTCTGCTACGTGAGCTGCCTCCAAACAAAAATTTAATGATCGAGAGGATGATGAGAGCCGTTCCAGCAAGGAACGTGAACCCAAGGACTATTTGCGGGACATCAGGTATTTCTAGTACAGCTCGCGTAAGATTTTTCAGTTCAATACAACGCGGCTGATTTCGGCAAATGAAGTACACGTAAGCCAAGTAAGCCCAAAGCGCAGCGGCGGATGTGATTAGAATCCACTTCGGAAGCCAGGAGGTAATACCGCAGGAGTCGCATAAAGAAAGATACGACGAACTCCTGAAGCAACGAGAAAATGATGAATGAAAATACCTGGATTCGGGCCTATCTTGAGCATAAAGAACATAAAATTCGTATTTTATTATTACACCACTTATTTCCCCATTAAAAAAATACAGCCGACGAGTGACCAGCATAAGAAGCGATCGTATCTAGTTACTCGTTGCTTTGGAAAATGAACCCAGAAGTGCAGTATAAATACTAACTTCCTCCATTCTCCTGCGAATACTTCACGAAATTAACGTGAGACGAAGCGAAAGGGTGAGTATATTGGATTTGGTCCCGAACTCCTTATATACTGTACACGCGCGCAGAATAGGACGGTTGACGCAGCAAAAGTAAGGAATATTTCCGGTACTAGGATTTCAGGTTGTTTCATTTTTACCACGGTTAGCTCTCAAATGAATCACACTAAAAATGACGCATTAGCTCTGAAGAAAGCATTTAAACGCGCCGACTCTGGATAAGGATGATTTTCCCTTCGTTTGAAAATGTAAAAAAATAATTCGACATTACTTTATGGATGTAATCGTCCAAAAATACCTCGGACAAATTCACAAATGGACATTCCACAATTCAACGATGATTCATGTCCTGCGGTATCTGAATCACCACACTGTGGGTGCGGCAGAAAGCTGTGTTGCGCAGCACGAGGAGTGGCGATCTTGCGCATTAAACTATGGAGGTGGGTGACGTGAACCGCGAGTATCATACCTTATTCTCCCCTTGCGCTCCGAAATAGGCGCTGAACTTCGTTCCGGATTCTCAGTTTCATTAAGTGATGTTGGCTTAATGAGATCCGTGAGTTGTACCACATCGCTTTCAGTGTACTGCACGTTGTCATCAGCCATCACCATGGTGGCTTTCTCCTGTGGCGCGGAGCGTGTTGATCTGTGTCTGATGGAGCGGATCCCGAGGTGATGAATGTTCGAAATACTTTTCTCTGAGTTGGGATTGGTTGGGTTTGGTGTTAAATTTGCGCTGTTCATCTCATCTTGTTCTCCCGTTATGCCGAGTTCGTGAGTCAGCGGAATGGAAGAGCGGACTGCGGTAGTATTCACGCTGTAAAGCACTAGATCTTTCAATAAAAGCGATCACATTGCTACAGTCCAAGATACGTAATATTGCATCCACCAATTTTACGGCATTTCCGGTTCAACGGAGGTGATGCATCAAGGCCAGCGGAGACCGCCGAAGCGATGAACATTAGGTGTCGTTGCATGCTTCTGGAATCCTGAAGATATTGATAGAAGCTTTCGAGCAGAATGGTAGGGACACCTAGATTACGTGTACAAAGCATGCAACGCGTTGCGCTTACGGAGTTACTCATCGATCCTAAGTTGCGCTGGCCTCACCTCACCCCGAATGAACAGGGCTGTATCTTACGCACACACCAGCATTCTACTGTACGTATGCAGTGCGTGTTAATTGTTTACATAATTTAGGAATTTAAGGTACTGTGCGTTATTGTACAGTAAATCATAAAATGCCTGACCGGCCGATGCGACTGCGTCTTTTCGAAGCTTCTGGCCAACGGATGCGTGATGCGGACTTGGGAAACGCCGCTCTCTTCGTGTAACTCTTCGGTGGCCACGAGTCCATATCGACTCGTTTATCGAGTTCATGCGATGGTCCGCTCAGTTCCTCTATAACTATAACATTTATTCATAACGTCAAGGGAATGCAATCAATGCTTTGAAGCAGCAAACTCGTCCCTGCTGTTACCCATACTTGACACCGCTATAATGACTAACGCGAATAAGTAAGTACTAAAGGTTATCGTGAACTTTCTAGATAGCCTTCTCCAAAGCCAAGTATATTGACATGTCACTTTTTCCTGTGAAGTGAATCGTTAAATGGGGCAATCCTCGTGAATGTTATTCTGATGGTTCGTGGATGCGCATGCTTGTACATTTAACTGCACATCGCGCAGGAATTATGCTTCATCTCTCGAAACTGCATTTTTTTGGACCCGATGAAGGTCCCTGGTTGCAAATGCGATGGAAATGCAGAGTGGTTTTGCTGGAATTTGGCACGGACTGGTTTTTACTAAAATTTTGTGTGATCGTCGTTAATCTCGAAATTTGTCGATCGCGGATCGAGTCCGCTGTTTATAGGTGAGATATGACCAGTGTTCGCGTTGACACGGATTTTGTGTTCTGCATATAGTGTACTTCTAAAATCGTTTTGAATTGAGTGAAGATTTTGGGGTACGCTGTGATTTGTGTTTCATCATGCACAGAATTGAAAGGTTAGCTTAGTAAGGCGGTGATACAGCTGGACATAATTGATTTCATCTTGCGGTTGACATAAGAGTCGGCTTATCTATAGTCTGAAATTCTGAAATACTCCTGGTGAATCGTGTGAATTTTCGATCGTGTATTCCCTTATAGAAAGGAGAGATTTATTATTGCTGCTCAAAACCTCAAATTGAAACAATTTCTTAAGCTCAAGTTAGTGGACGATGTTCGTATTCGTCATACGGTTAATCGAGAATCAGCAACGGAAAGAGCGCCTGATCCTGAAGCTACACTCAAAAAATCGATTTATGTGTACTGTAATGTATGAGCTCGTGGGCATTCTGGTGGCAAACGTGAACATTTTGCAGGAGTTTGAGGATGGTATATATATTCCCTTGTTGATCAACGTGAAATAATTTCCGCAGCGCAGAGGTCTCGTGGGCGATGTTGTTGAATGTCGAGCAGATAATCAAGAATCAACTACTCAACGGGTGTCGGTAGTTAAGCTGTAGCGCCGGTCGTTATGGCGACGCGGCAGCAGCTCAGATCCTCCCGCGGACACCCCCATGCTCAGCCGCGGTCCAAGACATCTCGTCAGGATCCCCCGGTCCTCAGCGACACGAGTCGTCGGATCCTGCTGAAAACTGCGCGTCGGAACCATTATCTCGGCGGGTATCCGCGACAGTTGACTCAGGAGCCCAAGTACATCGAGGAACGGGCCAATTACATGGCCCATGGGTGAGCTGGTTTCCTGTGAATCATTTCTATATCGCTATCATCGCATCCCATATTAACTTGAGTATACCACGCACCCTAAGTAAGATATGAACCCCATATTTCAGATTAAAAATTGGATGTAACTACTTGTTTTTGGGGAAAACATGATTGACATCGAAATAGTTTCGAGTACAAAAAATTGACCCAAAAGATGGGTAAATGTAAGCAAGTTTTGATATTTAAATTTGAAGTGTTAATGAATCAGGAAAAATTGAAAAATATGTTCACATCGTCTTGCCTTAACTTTGAGAAATTGAGCAAGTCATCAGCAAGAGTTGTCAATATTACTTCACTTTCATGCTAAAAATGATAAATTCACAATTTTCTGCTGCCAAAATATTCCAATTTTATGGGTTAGCTTATTGTGGTCTTTTGGTGTCAGGCTGGAAACAATTAAATCAATTACGCCGTTATCTTGAAGGGAAATGCGTTTCACGTGATTAAAAGGTGACCTAACAAAAGTCATCGAGGAATAGATCAATTTCGAAATAGATAAATCATAGGGACATCCAGTGTATTCCTCTGAAATTTCAATATCGACCTTGTCTCAATTTCGCATTCTACATACAGAAATAACGCTTTGTGTGATTTTAACCCTGGCGGAGCCACTTTATTTCCATCTTGAATGGAATATTGATCCAAATTTTCTGAATGTCAGTCAGGTTGTTCTCATATCCGTTCGTGCCTATGAAGCAACTTTGTTTTTCTAATAACGTTGCATTTCACGGAGAACTCGAATTTATTTCAAGATAAAGTAGGGTTATCGAAACTTGTTCATTGCGCGTAGTCCGATGATTTCCTGTAAATGCTCATAAAGGATCTTTTTTTCCTAAATTTATTTGATTTTGGTGTCCCATATGTTTCAGACAACCTTTTTCAAGCGTTTTGCCGTCAATGTACCGCAGCGTGTTTGGGACCCAACCGAACCCACAAGCATTTTTGCAGTCCAGAGCCGGACTGGTGTTCATGACTGTTTCCTGGCTCAGCGTTTTGTCCAGTCTGTATGAGAACACGGAAAAATCCTCGTGAGTTTGTCCGTCTGGCTTCGTTGTGTATCATAGACGGGAAAGATTCCAAGAAGCATTGGAAGACATTTTAACTCGCATCTTTCATACAAGGTGTTTTTTGATAACCGGGTGATGGAAAAGCTGCGAATTGTAATTGAAGTTTCATAAAACGTATCTGTCCTTGTCTGAAAGCTCTTCGCTGATTCATTAAACTCATTCCTTCGTAAGAACAATAGCATGCCTATGATTTTTTAAGTTTCAGTGATTTTTCCCGTCGTTAAAGAAATAATTTGGAAAACTGCTCAGCAATAACAAGGCCTGAAGATCAATTTTGCATAACGAGTCTGCTGCATTAGAAAAGTGATTTTCGTAAGATGAGAAACCAAAATTTAATGGACGAAACTTCAGTTCAAATAGTTGTGATGTTCAGCAGTTGATAAATCTGTCCTAAACTGAGGAAGAATCATTTTCAAAATGGAGGAACATGAAATTCCAAGAAAAAATGGAGGAACAAGAAATTTGTTCACGTTCTTCCCGAGGCCCTTCATGAACTCTTATATTAGAATTTTCTGGATTCTTAAAATTTTTTAAATTCATAATTCTGGAAAAGATGTATGAAGTGATCTTCCGGGTTTCGTCTATCACACCCTCATTGAGAAAATTGCTGTCGGTGACTCGCAGAGGGCTCCTGAGAATAACCCTTCGAATGGAAATGTGATGGGATTACTGCTGGAATGTATCGCACTTGATCTTTTCCAGATGGCTGTATCCTCTTCTGCACTCGTTGGACGACCTAAGCGATCTTTCTGAGCCTGTGTATTACGCCACCACAGCCGTGTTGTTGTTGGCTAACAGTTACTTGACTGCCTACGCGTCTGATTTGGCTGGCAAATTTGCTGCGGAAGTCGTGAACCGGCTGAACGAACGACTCACAGGGGTTCGGTTGTCCAGCAACACGGGCTTCGCTGCTGAAGATCGCGCTGTGCCCATTTTGGAGCCCACCCACGGGCCACAGACTCCAGATGAACCCTATGCTGCTTTCCGTCGGTGAGGCTTCTTACGCATAGATTATTGACCTGAGAGTTCAGACCAATATGAGCGCAAATCAGTTTATGACCTTTGGTTTATTTTAGTGCAGTGAAGAATGTCCAAGTGATAAAATTGGGCTGAGTGGACAAAGTCTCCCGCACATCTCTGTATACAATATTATGAAAATACTGTATGCTGCTTTTTCGTGGATTTAAAGTGTGCGCAGAATTTAAAATTTTTGGACAAGTCTACGTATCTCTGGTTTCTTCCCTACGCTTGGTCTTTTCGTTTGCTTCCTTCAGCTGATCTTTGACGAATCGAGATTGACAGGATTTCAGCAGCATACTTCATGTACGGAGATTTTTCTCAAAATTCTGCTAATTCATTATGAAATGTGGACAGCGTAAGTGAGCCGCGTTTTCTTTTGAAAAATCAGCTTCACCTCCATGATTCATGATTGCATATATTATTGATTATCTCAAACACAGTAATCAAGCATTCTTTCTAGTAATTATTTCCCGTGAATCAGAAAACTGTGGAAATGTAGTTAAACTTTGCATTTTTGCGATTACCGACTGTACAAGTTTTTCTTGAATTAATAATTGAAGCGTCACAATTTTTTGGAGAAAAAATGAAATTGAATGAAATCCATGAACGGAGCATCTTGCTTCAAGTCTCACCGATAATGCCGGATTTTTGTATCTAAATGAGGCTGATATATGAACTTATTGGATGCCCAAAGACCTCATCTTTAAGTATAATTACTGGCGAAACTTTGACATTTCCCGTGTATGGATTTTAAATTACAATAAATCAAAGGTCGAGTTGATAGAATTAAAAATTAGCACTAATGACTTGCAGAGGGTATATTATATTAGTGTCGGATCTATATATATAGTCTTCAGATTGCATATCATTGTGATGATTGAGTTTATTCTTGTGTTATTTGAAGGCCCTTGTACAGCACGGCAATGCCTTTGTCGAGCACGGCGCCAACATTGGACTCGGTGAATGCCGGCCGTTTCTTGCAATCCAACACGGGACTCGTCTTCTCCACCATGGTCTGGTTCACGTTCCTTTCGCACCTGTACCACACCACGGACGGGAGCAAGTGGTACTACAGTGTTCTCCACGCACTGGACGGGATTGATCAGTTGTCAACCCCGGCTTACTACCTGCTCACTCTGTCCCTCATAATGGCCCACAGCTACGCCACGTCCTACGTGTTGGACAGGGTGGGATTTGCCGTGGCGGACAAGATTGATGTGGCTGCGCAGCGTCTTCAGGAGTTGTACGAGGGGATCAGGGGACCCAGGATTCCCAAGAATGTGGAAATGCCGAGTTTTGAGGACTCTGTGAGGCAACACGCGCATTCAGCTGCTTCTGCTTCGAGGGCCTATCATCAGCTGCAGGAGCGCAATTTCGGCTTCAAAGGGAATTAGTGCTGCTGATGCCGCGGATGAATGGCACTTCGGGGATTCGCGAGATTAATCGTTCGATCAACTCTTGAACGTGTTTTGTGATGCTGGGGGGAGGACACGCGATAAAATGTATTGGTTTTTGTTTCGCCCTTTCTAAGTTTGTGAGAGGGAATTTGGGATCTATATCTTCCTCACGCGTCAAGGACCGGAAATACGGTTCAGCGTTGCATCCTATGGGGGTAAGCATTTTTATACTCCCCAGCAGGAGCTTCGCTGAACCGAGTTGGTGCGAAGGTCACGAAGGCCATCCACCCAGATAACATGCCTTAAATGTAGCTAGCTCACAATACAAATGCAGGTTACTTAATAATATTATCATAGTGGTGTGGACAATTACACTTTGATGATCATTGTCCATTATTACAATTTTTTCAATGCCAGGCATCAAATCGACAATAACAGCTTTAGAAGGTATCAAAGGAATTGCTGGTGTTGTCTTGTAAAGTTGTCTCTGATATGATTTTCCTGGACCAGAAAATCCATCTCCTCCTTCAACGATGAGAAATGCTCCAGGAAGTAGGTGTGAGTGTACCAGGATGGAATTGCTATGGGTATAGCAGCTGTGTGAGTGGGCCTTGGCTCTCGGCATGATTTCAGGCTCTTATATGTGCAACTTTTGGTAGTTTGTACGGTGAAAGAGTTGTGGAAGCAGCAGGGTTCTAAAAACTAAAAATAGCCACAGGCAAGTTTACAATTGATGGAGCCTATGCTGGCGGGGCCAATTCAATTTTTTACATATACTTACCTACTTTTACTTGAAGCAGAGAACCAAGCAAATATGTTCCTACTGAAGTATGATAATATGTGTTTCAACGAAGAGGCATTCCAACATTAGGACTATCTTCAAGCACCAATTAAGCCCACATCTTATTGGGGCCCACATGTAATACAGGGGGTGCCCTGCAATTTGAACCTATAGTCCATTGCTTGACCAGGGTGAAATTGTGAAGCAACATCAAAGCTAATATTTTCCACATCACATTTTTGTGCCTCTCTAAGGGTAAAATTGCTAGGCAGATGAGATCAAATTGCAAGTTCACCTCCCTGCAAATCTGACTGTTAAATCGGAGTATGGACAAATTGCAGGTTGGTTGAATTGCAAGGTACCAGCACCTGTATCAGGCTTTAAAGTTAAGGATTAACTTTGTTTGCTGTGTAACAGAGTCTCAGAAGATTAGATGAGCATTATTCATGATAATCATGAACAATAACCATGAATCTGATTTTTAGAGATTCCAACTCTGAAAGAAGGGAAATTAATTTTTTTTAGCAAAAAGTATGTACTGTAGATCAGTTCAAGTTTCTTCTGTCAGTTCCACAGTGTCATATCCTACAGGAAGGATGAAATTGTTCCTCTGAATAAATTATTGCAAGTTTATATGATCATTGACCCAAATACAGTATTATGAAAAATTTGCATCAAGCATGGAATTCTATCTCGTACATCTTTGAAAACTAGGTCAAAAATAAGTAAGGTCTTAAGGACTGTGGTGTGCACCGGTGTAGTTTCTCGGGCCGGGGTTTACTTCGGAAAAACAGCGTTGCGTTCTACTACGTCGTCCAGATTCTGTCTCCAAAGCCATTCAATCCCTGCCAAAACTTTTTCATGATGATAACCGATGAGGAAAAAACTGTATATAGATTTGAGATCCTATCTCCAGCAGCAGAAAAGGGGGGGGGGGCAGGAAAATCGATTTCCATCAACACATCTCTCGTCGGTCCTCGTCTCACACAGAACCATTCCTTATATTCCCCAGCTTTTCCAGTACAGTACAGATATATTTCTAAGTCGAATGTGACGTGGTCGCTGAAGCTCCTGCTATTTTGCCCAAAGCGTCTTCTTGCAGGGCGTCGAAAAGCGACGAAACCAGGACTTCTGCGAGATGAGAAACGATATATAATGAGATTAACTTCACTGCTATGTGGATGATAAACTCTAATCTCGAATGAGACGGAATTCCTAAAAGTCTTCATTTTCAAGGTAGACGTCAAAGAAAGTAAAACTCCCCGTGCTTTTGGAAACAGTTGCGTAAAAACCGTTTAAATAAGAAAAAACTTGCTCAGTATGACGACTCTACGAGTTTTTGATAACCGTTACCATTTTATAAAAATGTTTCTTTTATTTTAGCAGAAGTCCTAATGATTGATCAGGTGCACAGAAACAGTCGTGTTGTAATTTTGAAAAATTATGCACTGGATAGAGTAAAATCCAGGAAAACTAAAAAAAGTAAAATGCGGATTGCTTTGATTTTGTGAAGCCTTCAAATTCTTTTAGTCCATTAAAGGCCTAAAAAATAATTCTGTCCTTGCTCATAGTCCTGGATCAAGGACAAGAAATTCATAAAAACCCTTTTATTCCCGAAAAATCTGCATCAGTCTGTCTATAGCTGTTTTTGAAAATGGTTGAGGTCTGAGAAAGCTTGCTGAAAGGTTTGGTTGTTTGTGTAATTTGTCTTGTGTTTAAGGTTTAAAACTCTGTTGGGACAATGTAATATAATNAAAAATCTGCATCAGTCTGTCTATAGCTGTTTTTGAAAATGGTTGAGGTCTGAGAAAGCTTGCTGAAAGGTTTGGTTGTTTGTGTAATTTGTCTTGTGTTTAAGGTTTAAAACTCTGTTGGGACAATGTAATATAATTCAAAAAGTTAATTGGAAATTCTACTGAGAATTCATGGCCCTTGTCCAGAGCTGATCGACCCACAGTGTCTATATCTTCTTCTTTATTGTGGTGATTACTATTACTGTATTGTATCCCCAACATAAATTGAATAATTTATAATACTGTAACCTTCAGGGAAAAACGGAAAACCTAACGTTTTATTAAGGCTTATCTCTTTACGTGGATCCTTGACTCAAAAAGGTAACGCACGACTACCTAAGGGGGAAACATGCACTTTTTAATCACTGTGTAAACCAACGCAGAGTCAGATCAGCACTGCTGAAACAAGTGACATTTTATGCAACAAGACTTGGGCTTTTGGCTGCTTCAGAAGTATGATGGTTTGTGGGTAAGACTTTGAGGAACCCCTTAAAGATACAAGCATCGTTAACGGATCGATGTTCGGCTTTAGAACGTTACCTTGAATCCTCTTGGTGAGATCCGGGGTGAGACGACCCTCCTTCTCTTCTGACGCGAGATATGCGTTCAATTTCGAAAGGATTGAATCCGGTGTTCCGACATCTGCTGGCGATAAAAATGAGAATCTGATGCAATCCCTTATTCAAAGTATCTTTTATTTTCGCGTTTGCAAGAACAAGAATGCGATGCAACACTTGGAAAATGGGCATTTTTTTTAGTTAGTCCCCGAAACGCGGACACCCCAACATACGGACGATTCGACTTGGGGATACTGAACATTCAAAAAATTGGGCCTGATATCTGGACAACATCTATATGGACACTTTTTCAGCGCTTCTAGAAAATTGCAAAATTTTAATTTTTGAAAATTGGAATGTCTCTCGAAAAAATGGTGCTATTTATATTCACAGAAGTTAGATATGAATATGAACCATAAAGCCTGCAGGTTTTTTTTTCACGATGACCAGAAATAAGTTCGGATATTCTACGATGAATATATGCGCGCAGAAACCGCCTCAATTATCGGCCGAGAAATTTCCGGTCCACCTATTGTAATAGTTGCTAATGGCGCACTTTATATAGAATATTGGCGTCAGCGTGTCGATCGGGAAACCAGCAACAACAGCAGGTGGAAGGAAAATTGCACAGAAAAAGACTCACCATGTGCCAAGCTGTCGTCGAACATGAGTTTTGCGAGCTTGTAGAGCACGTCCTCGAGCCCGTATTCAGTGTAGATGAGGTCGACGAACTTGAGTCGTTCTACAAGTTCGGAAAATTCAACCTCGGACAAGTCGTCCTCCAGGGACGAGTGTCGTTGTGGAACTGCTGCTGCTGCTGCTGCTGATTTCATCGGATTTCCTTTTCATTGGAAAAATAAATAAAAGTATATTTTATTCTATTCCTCATAATAATTTATCGCTACTTATAGATGACTATAATAAGCAGTCGAAACTCTGTACGATGGAAGTCGAGTTTCAAGGGACCCCAGCGAAAGCAGGAAGAGGTTTTTATTTTTCAGGGATTTCATTTGATTTCTTGGAATAATTTATTGCTATGAAAAACTAAATATACTGTGCAGTCAAGAAAAGCATAGGCAAAAAGCCTCAGAAAATTCAATTTATGGAGGTTTGAGAGAAAAAGCCTTTGAGTCGGAGAGGTTTTTAAATCATGTATCAGTTTTCATTGATTTTGAAAAATAATCGAATTAGGAAAGATTTGGGATATTGAATTTCAACTTGTTTTTAAGATACGAAAAAGTGAAAAAGATTTTCAGTGCCCTTTTTCGCCCATTCACGCGAACAAGGGTTTTTTTCAAAATGAATTACAGAATTCTTCTGAGGAAACTTCATTTCAAAGTAAATCTAATGGAATTTTTCCTTTGATGTCTGTGAAGCATTATATGCAGTTTTGCCCACTCCAAATTTCTGATGCCAATACGCAGCAAATTTTTCAAAAAACAAGGTGGGTGTCAGTGGAGAATTCAAAAAAATCACTCAGTGCAGAGTTTTTATTTTTGCATTTGAGTGAATGTCATCAGGCATTCCTTTTTTTGATATTGTTCATGAACTTTTGAATACAACATATTATTTTTACGAATATTATTTTATGACTATAAACATAATCTAAAATTATCAGATGTTGGACTTCCTTATTTATTCTACTGAGCGTATTCAGTTTGATGATACAAATTGTTACTGAAAGTTGGGTTGTGTCTGCCTCAAAATAGAAACACATTCATACAGGATGACACAATGGGCAAAAAAGTCAACTGAGAAGCTTTTGTCATTATTTGCGACTGCTATAGAGAGAAAAAATGAATAAGGAAGAGATAAAATTAAAGAAAAGCATCACACATGTTGCCCAGAAAACAAGAGAGGTACTGTATCAGCTGATGATGCGAAGCATCAACTATAGGTTAAACATTAATTTCATCAGCCCCAGTTTTTCAAAAACGCCAGCCTGAATATCAAATAAAAATGCGGGGAACTTTTTTCATCATGCTTCAATAAGGAAATCAGAAAATTACTAAACCTGATAAATAACTGAAACCTCCTATCAAAAGAAACACGACTTCGTAATTTTTGTAAATTATCCGCTCACCCGA